GAACTGCATAGTGAAACCCTGTCTCAAAAGACAATAAAAATAATGATAATAATAAAACATCATCATCATCATCATCAAGGTAAAAAGATGTGTGGGGCAGGGAAGATGTATCTAATTTATTCCAAAACTCAAGAAAGGTACATGATTTGGGACTTCTGAGTTCCCAGTTCTTGTCTTCTTCCCACTCCGATTTGGGTCAGCCGGGCCCAAAGGCTACCCTTGGCCCTCAGACCTCAGCCACATCTTCTGTCTCTTAGCAGAAACAAATCACAGCCAATCTGGCCACAGTTGAGGTCCTGCCTTCTCGGGCCAGGATGACCATGTTCCCAAGCCGATCTCCTTACCCAGGGCAGAGGCTGAATGGAGTGGGGCTGCTGCCCAGGCCCTCTGGACACCACTGAAGTCCAGGATTTAAGGCTCACTGGCAGAAGCAGGACGAGGCAGGATGAGCAGCAGATCATCTTCAGGGAGGGGAGGAGCTGAACGAAAGTTCTCTGAACAGGAAAACGCTGCTATTTGCAAATCCTGACAAAGTCTTACTTACAGCAGTATTCCCTTGAGTGAGGTTCTGTGGCCATCAGTTCTGTCACCCCCTTCTCCCACGTGGCCTTCAGGATAGCAGTCAAACCCTGCATCTATCCCTCAAACCCCCCACCAAGTCCCCCCACCCCCTCCCCAGCCACTCACCACCGTGCCTCAAGCAACCAACGTCTGGGAAAATTCAAACTTCTCCTGAAACAACTCACCTCTGTCTCGGCGTGGACTCCCCAGAGGGACCCCCCCCCCACTGCCGCCTCTCTCCTGCCTCCAGCTTGACAGTTCCCTGAGCCCAGCCTTCAGTCCTTTACCCAGTGCCAGAGGCTGCACACCCCAAGCACCACTCCGATTTCTCGTATCCTCTCCATCTCCAGGTAACACAAGCTGCCACATTCTCTAGGTTGGAGGCCAAAAACCACCACGTTCCGACATCTTCCCTTCCCGCTCATCTTGTGACCTCCCGCTGCCAACACCCCACTTCAAGGGGACCCTCCTGACCCATCCTCTGTCCTCCTCACTCCAACAACCCTTTGACCTTCTATGAAAATCCAGATATTCTTACTTCCTTTTTTTAACCCACTTATATTCCAGGCCCCATCATTAACACCTTCCCTATGAATGTTCTCTTGCCTCTTTCCGCTTCTGTCATATTTGGTTAGGAAAACCCCAGCCAAGGTAAAATCCAACTAATTTTCTGCACCGTGCCTGAGTCTAAGCCCAACCAAATGAATAAGCTTGGAGAAGAAGTCATGCTAACTGGTTGAGGTTTATATTCACAAGCACAACTAAATGGGAGTGCAGAGCTCCCAACAGCACTATTACACCCTGCCAATGTGTCTGCTCCCCATTCTCCAACCCGGCCACGGACACTTTTTTCTCTTCTTTAAGCTTCCAGATGCCATTTTGGCTCCCTCTTCAATTCCTTCTCCCTTCTCTCTGACCCTCTTTCTTCTTCTGGTTTCTGAGACAGCACACTCCTGATTTTTCTACGACTTCTCTAACTGTCTAAAAGTCTCTCCTGGTCCTGGTTTTCCTCCGAGTATTTCTGGGCCTCAGACTTAACCGTCAGGCTGCCTCTCTCCTCAGGGCACTCGATCAGTCCTGTGGCTTTAAATCCCACTAGGATGCCAGCAAACACCACCCCTATCTCTTCAGCCCACACACCTCCACCGGGCCCCAGACTCTCTGAACCCACTGTCCCCTCAGTGTCCTCATGGTACTCGCCCCCTCCCCAACATAAAAGTTTAACTTCTTCTCTGGAAATAGCACCCCAGCTAGCCAGATGCTGAAGCTATCTGTGACAGTCAAGCTGGATTTTCAACTTGATTGACTTCAGACCAAACTAGGGGAATTAGGAGAGCACACTTTGAGGAATGTCTGGGCAGGTCATGCAGGTGTCGTGTGTCCTGGTCCCTTCCTTTCTGGCACTGTCCCCTGCTCTGCCTCTGCCATAAGATGAGAGTATTCCTCTGCCAAGCCTTTCTGCTTTGGAGACAGCCTACCACGGGCTGCACCCGACACCATAGCCAAATAAGCCTCTATTCCATTAGTTCATGAACATCGTCTAAGTTGTGCTGGTGTCGAGCATTTTACCCAGTGACAGGAAAGCTGACCAGTAAACTCATTATTATTCCACTTTCACTGACCAACCCCATCATCAAGTCTTGTCAGATGGACCTTCAAGAGGTCTCCCTCTCAGTCCCTTCTATGTCCATCACCCTGTCTGCCCTGTCACTTACCTCTCACCTTCCCACACACTAACGGCCACTATGGAAACAGTTTTGTGGATCTTCAAAAGTATTCTTTACCCAGAATGCTGGCACGCATGGTGCAGCAAGTCCATTACTACGTGTAGACTCAAAGAAGTGAAAAAAAGCGTTCAAATACAAACATTCATTCATACCAGCCCTATACCTCGTAGCCATAGGTGGAAAGTAAACTTTCTGGCCCCTTTGCCTGGCACTCTGGCCAGATCTTTCCATAACTGGTCCTTGCTGAGCCTACAGGTCTCTGCCCTAACCCCAGAGACCTTCCCTGACCTGTTCGTCCTTGTAACCATTTGTTCCCTGTGTGTTGCCATGTCCTCTAGCTAGCAGGTGGGCTTCCCAAGCCAGGGTTCCTTCTGTCTTTTCATGAATCACAAAACAGTGTTCAGTGGAAAGGATAGTTGTTAAGCCTCCAATACCGAGAGTCCACACAAGTCCTCGCCCAGGCTATGCCCATCCAGAGTTTCCACTGTCCATCCTGCTCCCGCTCTGACAGAACTCTTTCATCGGTACAGCACAGCCCATGTTCCTAAGACCCCACCTTCCCCCAGGCACTGAGTTCCTGTTTAACAAGGGGCAGAGGGAGGCGAAGCACAGGGGACACAGGACACAGCACAGGGCCTCTCAAGAGCTCACCGGACTGTGACTACCAGGTCTTGGGCAAAGCACTCCTCCTGTCCCAGCTCTGTACAGCTTCATGGGAACTACACAATGGGGAAACAGAGGTGAGTATCCCGCTCCAGGTCCTGTAACTGTCAAATGAAGAAATGTAAAGAGCCCTGACCCAGAATCCTCCTTCCTAGTCACTGGGCAGTACTGCCTCAAGAGAGAGGCAGACGCGCAACGGTGCACACCTGTAATTCCCGCTCTGCAGGAAACGAGACAGAGGCTTTCCAAGCCAGCCTGGGCAACAACAAAATTTTTTTAATGGCTGGGAATGTACAGTATTCGCACAGCATGATCAAGGTTCTGAGACTGATCCCCAACACCGAGAGAGAGAGAGAGAGAGAGAGAGAGAGAGAGAGAAAGGAGGGGTACAGATTTTCAGTATCCATTTGCATCAAGTACAAAGGTGCTGAGTTCTTGACCTACAAAGCATAGTTTCTCCTCACTGACAGCATTAATGCGGGTCACAGGCAGCTAAGGCCGCCAGGCCAGGCTGTTCTCCCCCTGGGGACCATGGAGCAGAGGCTGCTGCCCTCAACACAAGTGCTTAGCAGCAGAAATGGGCATCCAAAGCTGGGCCCAGCAGTGCTGCAGCCCTGAGATTGCCCGCAGGCAGGCTGGGGTGGGCACAGGAGTGGACGGGCAGGTTCAGCACCTTTTGAAGGGAGCCAGTGACACCTGCACAGTAAGCATTGCTGAGTGGTTGCAGGCACTGTGGCCCGTTTGCAGGCCGGGAATACACACAGCTTCTCTCCTGTTTTCCACTCAGGCAGTACCCTGGGCTGACTTCCCCAACACCGCCGCACATTTGCTCTTCCTGAAAGGATGCCCAAGCCCAAGCCTCCCAGGGTCAGTGCCCCCATGTGCCCATGAGCCCAGCTCAGGGAGCCCCTGCCCTACCCCATGCCTGCTCCAGCTACCATCAGACTGTGGTCCCCATCGTCCTGGCCCTCTAAGGGCCTGCAGCCCAGGTCCATTGACTTGCTGTCATTTAAGTTCAATATGTATCCTGACTCCTACCGTTATTCTTCCGTACGAGTACTGTGCGTAATTAACTCCTTACTAGGAGCCAGACCCTGACACTTGATGTTGTATCAGTCACCACTCCTCATCCTCCACAAGAACTTTGGGGAAAATCATTATTCTCCCCATCAACAGATGCAGAACCTAAGATTCCTCGAGGGCCAGTGACTTACCCAGAGGCACACAGCAATGAAGACAAAAGTAGAACGTGAAGTCTTTCCCAGTTCCTTCTTCTACCTATCACCTAGACTTTCCTGGTTCATTCTGCAACCAGACACACTGACCTATCGTCCTGCAGGCACAGAAGCATCCCTAACCCAACAGGGCACTCTGCCCGCTGCTGGAGGCGATGGCAAAACAGTGGCTGGGTGGAGCCAAATGGTGTGATGGAGACACAGGAGGGTGGCATGGAAATGGGGCACACAGGGCATGCACACCACTCGCTACACTTACCACCTGAGGGAGGGCAGGAGAGCCCCGAGAGGGTCCCCGCAGCAGAGGAGAGAAGGCGGAGTTAGTTAGAGAGCCATGGGAAGAAGCACACAGGCTGCCTGGGCGTGGACCAGACCCAGCCTCCAGGGGTGCCCCGCACCTGCCGGGCCACTCAAGGTCCTGGCAGGAGTGAAGGGGGTGCCGGGAAGGCCACTTCAGCATAGGCCACTGTGTGATTAGGAGGGGCTGCCTGGCCACACACAGGCCTGGGGCAGAAAGAGCGCACAACACTTAGCAGTGAGCGCCATGGGCCGGCCTAGGAGCACACATCTTATTCGGCACATCCCCTGCACTCCCCCAAGCCCTGACCATTCCTGCTGCCATGTGTGGGGGCCAGAACCCTGGCAGATCCCTGGCAGATCAGACTGTACCGGATCAGGACTAGAAACCAAGCTGCCCAACTCCCAGGTCTGCTAAAAGAAACACAGTCACTGAGCAAGAGAGCTCAGTAAGGAGGCTGGGGACAGGGTCACCCTGAGGGCGGCACAGCCTGGCACCTCTCTCCCCTCGACTCACATGTCCGTGCAGGTCCGTGTTGAGCAGCATCAGGGCACAGGTGAGCGTGTGGATCCCATCTAAATCAGAGATGGCAGCGTCCTCAGCATGAGCATCCCCACCCTCAGCTTCCCAACTGTCCCTCATAGCGACAGCACCAGCCTGGAGGCCTGGGGACAGGAAGCAGCCAGCCACCTGCCCTCAGGGCTGGAGCCTGTGTGATGCTCCCACCTGCCCCACCACAGAGTCACACTTGCCTGCCCCAGGCCAGAGCTGTCCCCTCCCTCAGAGAGAACATGGTGGCTCTGGGCTGCTCTAGGCCAGACGCCTGCCTCTGTGAGTAGATTCATCTTTTGTTTAAAACCTTGTCTTTATTTATTTTTTTAATCCATTTTATTCATAGATAAAACGAAAGCAAAAAAGCAAAAGAAAAAAACTACAACAAAATTTTAAAGTACAGGCCAAGCATGGTGGCTCCACCTGTAATCCCAGCACTCCGGAGGCTGAGGTTAGAGGATCGTTGCAAATTCGAGACCAGCTTGGGCTACAAGGTGAGCTCAAGGCCATCCTGAACTGCATAGCAAGACCCCATCTCAAAAAAGAAAAAAAAAATTCTTTTAAAGTACATGGTGGGGGGGGGGGTGTAACAATGGTACATACATTGTGCTCTGTCATCCCCAAATCATTCACCTAGAGCACAAGACAGGGCAGATTCATCTTGAACCTCAAGCCCAGAAATGGCCCTCAGTCCTAGGCCGTGTCTCTGTGTCTGTGTTTGGCCTGTGTCTCCAGAATTTCTGGGATCCAGGTCCATTGTCTGGTAAGTTCCCAACCAGGAGCCCCACTCCTCCGGGAGTCAGCACTGTGACAGGGCACCAGGGTGTGTGTGAAGACCAAAAGACTCAATTTCTAAGACTGAGGACCGTGAGGCCTGGGAAAGACTGTGGGCAAGACACCCAGAGCTCTCTTGCCCAGCAGGCAGCCCCATTCCCCCCCCCCACCCCCGCCATGGTTATTCACTCAGTGTTAGCTTAGCACCTCCTGTAAGCCACAGGAGCAAGGGAGGGCCAGGGCCCGGGGACACTGGGAAGGCAGGGTGGGGCAGCAAGGCCATCTGTACCTTCCGAGGTGCTGTCATCAGGGTTGCACTGGCAGTAACGGCGGGAGAAGTGTGTGAGGACCCGCTCACGCTCCTGCGTCTCCCCCATCAGAGGAAAGGCCTTCAGGAAGGTTCTAGAAGGCAATTCAAGGGCGCTAAGGGCCTCCCAGGGTCACCAAGTAGTCTAGGTCCTCATTACCAGGGTAGAAGCCCCCATCTGCCTTCTACTTCCCCGGGGCTTTTCACCAAGCCCAGCACAGCACTGCCACCCTGACCGCAGGCTGCCCCCTAGACTTGGCCCCACCATTGCCCATCCTCGCCCCACCTTTCCCCACCTGCCCTGCCACCCACCCTCTGCCCTTGTCCTCCCACGCCTGTCCGTCTTCAGGAACCTGCACACTGCTACCAGCACTGCCTTAGCCCCAGCACCGTCTGTGGCTCCCCAGTGCATGCAGCTGAGCTGTACTTCTGGCAGAGCACACAGGCCTTCGGTCCAGCACCGGCGGCTCTGCCATGAGCTGGCACCCTGAGTAGCTCCCATAGACTCCTGCTCTAGGGGCTGGGGACCTAGCTCAGTGGCATAAGCACCTGCCTCGCAAGCAAGAATCGTGAGTTTGATTCCTGGTACCAGAAAAAAGAAAAAAAAAAAGAAAGAAAATAGACTCTCGCTCTACCATGGGATCTTGAAGGTCAGAGCAGACAGTTTTCTTAAACTGTCAGGAAACTGCTGAGGCAACAAAGATCACAAAGGCCAAGATCCTGGAGACAGGAGGACACTGGGGGCGGGGGGGAGGGGGGAGCCTCAACTGCTTTACCTGAGGACATTGCTAAGAGCCAAGTGAAGAGCGAGACACTGGCGGCTTTCAGGGGCTGGAGAGACAAACCTGGAGACCAGAGGAGCTGTAAGCACACAGCTAGGCGTGTGCCAAATTCCAGGGGGTGCAGGAAGGAGGTTAAAAAGCTAAACGGAGCTGAGCTGAGCGAGGTGGCGCATGGTTCCAATCCCAGCTCTCAGAGGCTGAGGCAGGAGGATCACCATGAGTTCCAGGCCAGCCTGGGCTACACAGTGAGTTCCAGGCCAGTCTCAACTACATAGGGAGACCCTGTCTCAGAAAATAAAAAAAATTTTAAAAAAAGAAAGCTAAATGGAAAAACCCTAGAGGATTTTGCTCTTGGTGTTATTTGTTTGTTTTGTTTTTGTCTGTTTGTTTGTTTTCAGCAATTTTACTACACTGAGGAGATAAAATAAGGATTTAGAATCCACCAAAGGGTGAGGTCCAGTGGTCACATCAGGCTGCCTGTGGAAAGTTCTGAGATTTTTCCAAGATCAGAGCAAACCTTGACCGTCACCAAGCTTCGGCACTTTGTCTCCTCAGCCAGTTGCAGGCGGTTTAGAACCATGTCCCCAGGCTCCCTCCTAACTGCCAGCAAAGGACAGAGTAAACAAGGGGACATCTAGAGCCACTTAGTTCTGAACAGGGTGTGTAACATCAGCATGCAGAGACAGAACAAGTGACGGGAAACCAAGAGACAAGCAATAGAAACTGGTACGCATGATTCAGATGATGCCATTATCAGAGACAGCAAACAGGAACTTTAATAGGTTCAAGAATAGAGGTAAAGATGGAAAAAATTAGTGAAAATGGAGAATTACCAGAAAATAAAAGTTAGTTTTTTTGGTTTTTGATTTTGTTGCTTTGGAGGCGTAGGAGGGTGGAAGATTTTTTTGTTTGTTTTGTTTTGTTTTGTTTTGGGAGGAGAATACTGAGGATTAAATCCAGGGCCATGTGTGTACTAGGAAAGTGCTCTGACACTGAGCTACATCTCCAGACATTTTTTTTATTTTCGTGAGACGGTATTTCCCTCAGTTGCCTGGGCTGATAGCAAGATTACAATCCTCCTGCCTCAGCCCCACAGGCATGCATCAGTGCCTCAGCCTAGAATTTATTTTTAAAGTTTAAATAAGATGAAAATTCTAGAACTGAAAAATATGATCACAGAAAATTAAAACCCAGTAAATGGATTTATTGGCATACTGGACAGAGAAAAAAAAAATAAGTGAAATAGAAGGAGAACAATAGAAAATATCCCAACCATAGCAGAGAAAAAATAAAAACAACATCTTTTTTAAAAGTACAAGGGCTGGGAATATAATTCAAGGCACAGAACCTGGCTGGCAAGCATGAGGTTGTGAGTACCAAAAAAAAAAAAAAAGTACAAAGACCCTGGGTGTAACGGCGCACACCTGCAAACTCAGCAGACTGAGGCAGGAGGATTGCAGCAAGTTCAAGGCCAGCCTGGTACACAGTGAGTTTGAGGCAAGAGGGATCTATGTAGCCAGACCTCCTCTCAAAAAAAAAACTGTACAAGAGACACATAGGCCACAGTGAAAGGACCTAGCATGTATGCACCACACACCTCCGTGCCGAGACTCAGGACCCTGTCTGTCCTCCTTATGGCCTGGCCTGACCTCCCCTCAGCTGGTTCCTGCAACCACAGCCTGCTGACACTGAGCTTCACCCACCACTGCACCCCTGCTCCTTGGGGCCTGCACCTGGCCCTCCTGAGGCTCCTCCCTGGTCCGGACCCCCGTTAGAGCTGAGCTCAAATCTCCTCTCACAGAGTCATCTGGCACCTAGTGACTAGGAGGAAGTCGCTCTCTCTACCTCTCTGCTCAGAAATCCTTCATCTGAAAAGTAGGGAGACTCATGCCCACCTCACAGGGCTGCTCTGAGGATGAAGCAGGCAGGGACATAAAAGACAGCTGCTGCACTGGCCTCTTCCCACAGCCTTGCCAGAGGGGTCAAGAGACCTGGCCAAGGTTGCATAGCAAGCTTATGATGTAAGTCGGATAAGAATCCAGGTGTGCTGCCCATGCCATTTGTGGACACCATCCCACCCCGGACCCACTGACCTGAGCGCTCGGTCCAGAGTGAGGCCAGAGAAGTCGAAGAAACTGAGGTACTCGCCAGCCACCAGCCTGCTGAACTCGTTGCTGCCAGGAGAACACAGGGTGTCAGTTAGAAGCAGGGTCTAACCCAAGTCCAGCAGAATGACAAGGGGAACTTGAGGAGGGGCCCTGTGTTCCCTGAAACACACACACACCCCATCTGCCAACCTCCCCTGATGGCCATTTAGGTTCTGACAGCTCAACCTCGAGCTGCAGGATCAGGAGGGCTTCCTGGAAGAGGTGGTGTCTCAGCCAACAAGAAGGATGACCACCAGCCAGGTGAAGGGGGAGGAGATGGGACAACACAAAGTGATCTGGACAGAGGAAACCGTATCATATGACAAAAAAGTCACCAGCACACCATGTGGCCAGGGCCTGGAAAGCGGGAATGGGGTCAGCAAGAGATAGGCAGGAAATAGCCTGCAGGTCAAAGGAAGGGTGGTGCCATGATTCCACAGGGTCTGAACAGATGGTCACATCTGCACTGCAGACGCTATTTGCCGAGTGGACACCTGCAGGGAGAGCGCAGGAGTGGTTCAAAAAAAGAGGTTCAGAAAAGAGGTGAGCATGTGCTTTAGGAAACAGAATCAGGAAGGAGGATGGGTCAGGTGGGAAAAAGACTGAAAAGGTAGAGATATCGGGGCTCAGGACAAGGACCGGGTGGGTGCACCCCCATGCGAGTCATCACTCCTCGGTGGTCAATAACAGCTTGGTGCAGTGGGCATGATGTCCAGCTGAGAAGGTGCAGAGCCAGCTGGCTGGGTGGGACAGGATTCCAAGGCCATGTTGTAGGCCAAGGAGGACTGTGTCACAAGAAGGCTGGAATGAAGAATCCTGGCCCAAAATCAGAACCCGGTTCCACTGGATTCTAACCAAGCCTCAAGCTCTCCTGCCCCTTCACTGGACCCATGGGAAATAGAGGAACATGTGAAATAACACCTGCAGACATCCCAGCCCAGCCCTGGAAAGTCTCTCAGGACAAATGGCTCAGCTTCCTCAACCTGAAAAGTGGCGGGGGACTACTGTAAAGTGCTTCAAGATCGAACGCAGAGTGTGGACCTTGTTCAGCTCCTGATTTGACAAGACAATATTTTGAGACAATCAGAGAAAATTAAAGGCAAATGGTAAAGCTCATAAGAAATTGCTGTTTAAAAAAAAAAAAGAAAATAAATTGCTGTTAATTTTATTAGAAACTGTAATTGTATAAACAAACTTATCAGAGATATATGCTAAAGTACTTATGTATCAAATGACTTAGTGTCTGCATGTGCTTTATAACATTCCAGCAAGCTGGGCAAGGTGGCACACAACTGTAATTCCAGCACTCTGGGGAGCTGAGGCAGGAGGACCATAAATTCAAGCCCTGTCTGAGTTTTAGTCACTTAAGGATTTGGGCTGTGAAGGTGGGGAGGGACTTTTGATTTTCAGATGGGAGAGAGGAGCACAGCTGACCGCCGATGGGAGACAGCTGCAGAGGGAGAAGCAGTTGGAAAGGTAAAAGGCTCCAGGAGGTTGTCATTAGGTTGGAGTGGCTTCCAGGCCAGCAGGGAGGTGAAGGCATCTGTGGTTTCATTGCTGGAGCCTTTGGGGGACCCAGTGTGAGATTGATGTGGAGGCCATGGGCGGGGCCAGGGGGGTCAGGAGGGAGCGGGAAGGATCCAGGAATTGAACTACTGTCAGGGCTCCCATGTCAGCTCTGACTCATGGCCAAGGATCTGATCGTCTCTTAAGCCTTAAGTAAGTAGCACTCAGAGGCAAGGCCTGCATCTGCCACTTCAGACTCTTCCTATGGTGACAGGTAGCTCTCTGACAGAGGCTCCAAAGGCAGGGGCCATGCTGATTGTCAGACATCCTCAAGATGTACCCAGTTTCCCTCAGCCACAGTCCCCACCTGTACCCTGAACCCCTATCTTTCCAGTTCACCTTGCACCCATCTAAAAGCCAAGGCCTGTGCTCTGGGGATCCCAGAACCTTCTGCTAGTCCCAAGCTCTGGACAGTAGGGCTTGACCAGTGCCAAGAACCCCTTCCTGAGATCCAGGTCCCAGTCATTTCTCCCCCATGCCCCACGCAAGCTCTCTTCTCTCCCTGGTCCCATCAGGCAGGCCACTGACACTCTGTCCTCACTGCCATCCACCAGGACTTCATAATTATTATATCCTGCACCCTGCTCCTCAGCCCCGAGGGCCCACCTAGCCCCACCCCTCCCTGAGAGCAGCAAGCCCTCGTCCAAGCAGCCCAGAAAGGAAACAAATTTAGGGCAAGGCCAGGAATGAGGACAGTGGCAGGAGGAGGTGTCCTTGAAGGACCGTTGAGAGTCCCTGGTACTGGGCACCTCTGAAAGAAGCTAGCTTCCCCTTCAGGCTAATGAAGACAGAGGTTTGCCTGGGGAGGAGATTGGGAGGCACTCACTTCTTGCCCAGCTGCCGGGCCACATCGCAGCGCTGGAAGCCCTCGAGGTGGTAGAGGCGGCGGGCCAGCCGGTGAGCAGCTTCACTGACCCCCTGGCATCCGTTAGTCAGTGGGTCTGTGCTGCCAGGCTCCAGCCCCTCTGAGCTGCTCAGCTCTGAGTCTGAGTCCGACAGGCCATCCTTCAGGCTGGGGTCACTGCAGAGGAGAGGAGGATCAGAGGCCAGGGACAGAGGCCCTACGTGAGGTTTGAGGAACTCCAAGTCCTCTGAAGACACACTTGGGGTCCAGAGAGGACAAGAAGCTCCGCTGAAGCAGGGGGACCTCAGTTCAGAATTTTGTGGGAGCCCCTCAAGTGAAATCATGCCCATAATGTGGCTCGCTGAGCCCAGCTGCACTGAGAAACATGAAGAGCAGAATGGGACATTAGGACCCAGGGTGGGAACCTGGAGGCAGAGGAGGGACAGGGTGGCCTTGGAGGGGGTTTGTTGACTTTGGACACTGGATCACCTTAACACGCTTTGCCTCCTTTGTGCCTCAGTTTCTGCATCTGCTCAATGGCTCCCCCAGCTCCCAGTCCGGGCCCTGTCTCACCTGGCTGAGTTCAGCAATTTGTCCGTGTCCTCATCGTCGTCATCTTCATCCCCGCCTGGCCCCTGGGGCTCATCCTCATGGAACCCATTGGGAACCATCGTAAGGTGGCTCAGGACGTTCTCGGAACGGCTGCTAGAGATGGAGCACCGCAAGGGGCTGCCCAGCTCCCCGTCACCTCCGGCTGCCCCCGTGTCCCCCTCAGACCCCATGTCCCCAAGACCCAGCCCAGCCCCTGGCTCAGGGCTATCTCGGGCCCGCTGCTGGATGAGGGGTGTGAGTGGGGCCTCGAAGCTGACACAGCTGTCACTCTCATCTGTGAGGCTCAGCACATCCAGGGAGTCAAGGCTGCTGTACTGGGTGCCTCGCAGCAGCTCTGACTCCAGAATCTTCTCAAATGTGGCACTGAAACCATCCCGCACATCTGGCTCTCCAGGGCCATCAAGCCTGTGGGATGCAAGGACCAGTCACCATCCTGCCGGGGTGTCCTCATGCACATGGGATGATCACCACAGCAGTCTGCATCTGAAGGCCCCTAGGGGCAGGGAGCAGCCTGGGTTGTGTCCTGTGTCTTTGCTCATTCAGCCAATACTAACTGAGCACCAGAGACCAGATGCTCGGCTGGGGACTGGGGACAGCAAAACAAAGGACAAATGTGGTCCCTGCCCCTAGGTGCCCAACCCAGGCCCTGCTCTCAGTAGGTATCAGATATGTGTCTCAGTAAATAACTGAGAGGCCTCTTCTCCCAGTCGGGCCTGAGCTTGTGGGTATCTACCTGTCACAACTAGTGCCACGCTCGCTCATGATGTTGCTGTCTCCACAGCCTGGAGGTTCTTAGCTCAACCAACCACACAGCCCCACGTGGTGCTGGCCCCTCCTCTCCGCTCCCCCCTCAGGGTGTTTCCCCTGTCCTCCCCAGCTCTTATCAACATGCAATATTCTGTTGTTCCCCTCTTTACTATATGCTCCCCAGCTCCCAGCTCCCAGCTCCCCAAGCCAGAGCTTCACAAGGCCAAAGTCTGCCTGGTGAAGACAGCTCTGCCAGGCCTAGGCTGGGTTCTAGAGACATTCAAATAAGACAGCGCCCTGCCCTCGGAGAACTCTCAGCCCACTGTCAGAGCCACAGGCGATGCCACCATCTCCCATTCCCCGCAACTCAGCAGACCTGAGGAGGCTCTGACAGGCTGGAAAACCATCTGTCCAATTTTCAAACCTCTCTCTATCCCCATCTTTACCCACCGTAAATCAAAAAGCCACCTGAATACAAACAGCAGTCTCAGAAGCCTCAACCTTCCATCTCCTCCCCCTCTGCTAGCTCCTGGCAACTGCCCAGGTCCCACCTGGATGGAAAGGCACAGCCACACGGTGCACAAAGGCTTGCAAGCTCAGCTGCTCACACCCACAGCACACACCTCAGACACCTACAGCTGCTTCACATTGTGAGCCTGCATGGGAGGCTGAAAGGGTGCCGGCCAGGGACAGAACAAGCCTGCCGCTTTTTTAATGCTTTTCCTGGCTCTGTTGCCCCAAAACACCCAGAAACTAGACAAAATAGGAATATGAAATCCCCATCTTATGTGTGAAAAAGATAGAAAGAGCCAGAGATCCAGGCCACATAGCCATGGAGTTGTCAAATATACCAAACCCCATCCCAAGATGCCACTTACCCCAGCTGAGAGTCCTCAGTGTCTGGATAGAGGCTGCTGCAGACAGCGTCCCTCTCTGCCAGCCTACCATCCCTCCAGGCACTGGACTCTGTTGAATCTTCCACAGTATTCATCTCTGGTCCGAGGGTTAGGCCATTGGTGAGGGAGAGGCTGAGGCTGAGGCCAGAGAGCGGCCCAGCCTCACCTGGGTCCCCTGTGGGCTCCTCACTGTCCAACAGGGTGTCCCTTTTCTCATGCCCTGGGCTGCCAGGGCAGCTGCTCAGACCCTCACTGGCTGCCATTCCATCCTGGGCCCCAGGCTCCTCCTCCGGCTCCAGGTTAGGGTCGCAGGTGGCACTGCTCTCCTCAGGTAGCAGCGACGGCAGCTTGCGTTCATCCATGGCAGCCGCTGCTTCCTCTCCGTCCTGATGGCTCCTGGGACTCCAGTACAGCTGGTGGAAGATGGAGAGATGAAGTCAGGGTGGGTCAGACAAGGCAGGGACTGGTCGTCTAAAGCCCAGTGGAACCAGCACCAAGACAGCCCACTGTGGGCAGGAACTTGGCCAAGATAATCTCAGGATCCTCGTGTCTGGAGCCTAATTTCGGGTCTTTCTCCTCCTGCCCAGGCCAGGCCCACTCGCCTCAGCCCTGGCTTCTTTGTTAACTCTTGTGTGTCTCTACTGTGCCCTCTGTGATTCACCAAAGCCCCCTGAGGAAGACTCAGATGAGGAGGAACTGAAGAAGGCCCCATCCACTCACTGGTGAGTGCTGGAGACAAACCCGACAGCCAGCCCACAGCCTCTCTGCGTGTTCTCTGCCCCACCGCCAGGAGCCAGAGATCTCTGTGGTTAACGGAGGGAACTGGGGTAGGTGCTGCCTTTAAACGGGTGTTAAGAGACGAGGTAAAGAAGGTAACAGAAGCGCAGCTTAATCAGAGCATCAGCCACTGGGGACAGCCCACAGCGAGGCCAACAGGCGGCGTGTGGCGCTGTCCAGGGTGCTGGGCGGGTGCAGCGCCACCCGAGAACCTCACAAAGAACCAGGTTGCCTCTCCAGCACCCAGGAAAAAGGACAAAGGGCTTCCCTCCACTCCCGGGCCCCACCTGAGCTTGCCCTGTGTTGAGGAGAGGTGACTGATAGGAAGTACTCGGGAGAGCACTGCTAGGGGAGTCAAATGCTGCTCTGCCAACATTCTGTGTGGCCTCATGTGGGTCTTCGTGTGGTGACTTCCCCGAACTGCCCAGGCCAGTCCACCCCCTTCAGCTTTTGTTGGGCACTGACCCTCCATCTCCACCCACTGCCCCTTACAATGGCTCATGTTTCCCAGAGGCTTTTTCCCAACAGCATCCCAGCTGGAGAATGTAGAGGTGATGGACAGCAGCAGTGGTTTCACTGTCCCCTCCTTTTCTCCCTGGCTCTGGCCCCAGATAGTCTAGGCAAGCCCGTCCACCTGCCCTCTGCTGCGGGAGTAGACCAGCCCCTCACTGGGGAACCACACAGAGGCAGGAAGCTGGGGCATTTCCTTGGACCACTTCCTCTCTCCTCTCTTGAACCTTGGCTGGCCGGCATCCCCACTCTCCTCTCCTTCAGAGAAGGACTGCTGGAGGCTCAGGAGAGGCTGGGAGCGCAGAGGGATGGGTCTGCTTTCAGGGCTGCAGCAGGACATACTGTCATCACAGTAACAAGAATGGAGACCCTCACACCCTGTGTGGGCCTGCTCATAAGTGTCATCAGAGGACCTGTTAAAACACAGTCTTCCTGCCCCAGAGCCATGCACCAGGCTTTGCAGGGAGGAGATCTGTTACTCTTATAATGAGGCAAATGTGGGAAATGGGAAATGAATTAGATGCCCAGAAGAACTTCCTGCCTGAAAAGACAAACCCAGCAGGGAAGATAGGTCTGCTTCTCTTGGGGCTTCTGAGCCCCTAACAGAGAACTCAGCTACTGAAGACCAAGTAAAATTCATTTAACCCTGAGCTTTCAAACGTGGAGTGGAAAAGAGAGGGCAAACTGATCTGTGGCTCTCACCCATCTAATCGGATTCTCATCCAGGGTATTTTGTTTTTGTTTTTGTTGAGACAGGGTCTTACTCCATAACTCAGGTTGGCCTGAAACTCACTGAGTAGTCTAGGCTGACCTCTAACTCAAGGTAATCCTCCTGCCTCAGCCTCTTGAGTGCTGAGATTACAGGTATGTGCCACCACACCCAGCCTCACCTAGAGTTTTAACTACAGCATGAGAGTAAGATTTTACTTACAAATAAATAAATAATATCTGAAGCCAGGCTATAGACTATCTGAGCTCTGAACCTCAGACACTAGGGGTCCTTGGGACTCAGCATGGAGTGAAGAATCTTCCTTGTATGGCCTACATCCCCGCTGCTGTGGTTGCTATTTCAATCTGTTCCCTCCAATTGTATACCCAGAGGACAGAGACGGAAGGTCACCTCCTCAACTGAAACTCCTGGGGGAGCTGCAGGGAGCATTTAGAACAGAAAGAGGGGAGAAAGTGGGGCTTTGGGGCCCACTTCCTGAGTTCTAGTCCTCTGGCCTGCTTTCCAAGCCAGAATGCTTGGGCTCCCATACCCCTGGTTAGAAGCTGAGCCTCAAGCCCCAGGGAAGCCCAAAAATTTCCCAGTCTATACCAGTCCCAAAAAGAGGGCTGTGGATAAATCAAGGCCCTCCCAGGAGGCCTTTGTGCTACTCTGTAACTCCCAGTAGCTGCCTCAAGCTACTCCAGCCCTACCTGCCCCACCAAGGCTTACAGCTGGCAGTGGGATAAAGGCTCTGCCAACACTGGGCAGTAGGCCACATCCTTGGTTTCTGGGGTGGGCAGACAGGGGCAGCATTGAGTTCTGTTCTAAGTGGGGGGCCCAGAGTCCCTGCCTGGGCTGACAGCCAATTGAGCCTAGAATAGCTGAGCCAGAACCCTCTCTTGCTGAGCACTAGGAGGGGTGCATAAAGGAGAAGCTCAGGGTAGAAATGTAAAACAATGCCCCAAGGCCCTCTAAACCACTGGGGGTCCTGGGCTAAACTTGATTCCTCTGGTCTGTAGGAGGTCATCTGCAGAAAGAAAGGCTCAGCTCTGTTCTTTTCCCCTGGGGCTGGTGGAAGAACTTAAGACAACAATACTAAGAGAGCTGAGATCCAAGGAAGAGCAAACTTACCACAGAGGTCAAGGAGCAAAGGCCGAGCTTCACTCTTTCCATCTCACTTGACAGGTGGGGACAGGACTGAGGCACAAAACTGACAAAAGCTTTGCCTGAGATCACACAATGAGCAGCTGCTTCTACAACCAGGAGTGACCTCTCTCTCCAGCAAGACGGGCTAGAAGTGCAAGAAGAGCCCCAGTTTCCAGGCCCCTACCACAGCCTCCCCTGAAATCAAAGGCCCAAATCCTCAATCAAGAGAACTGGCCCAAAGCAGTGACCCTGCCTGTCTCCAGTCCTCCTGGCAAGAGCAGGGCCGGGGAATGCAGCTGGGCCGCCAGGCATCCATCCCAAGGAGACGCCTACAAATAACAGGCTGTCGGTGGCCAAGATCCCTGCAGCCTCGTTCAGCCTAATCCAGGCCCCCCTTCAAGCAGAGGCTACCACAGTCCTTGAGATGACCTTGTGTCCAGCAGCCTCTTTTTCAGTGCTAGCCAACACGGATCACAATCATAGTAGAGTCTGGTTGGCACCAAGCCACACATATTCTGGGTCTCAGCTGCTCTCAACACAGTCCTGTCTCCCTCCCCACTCTCCCCATGACAGCTGGAGTGAGCTGTGAAAACACAAATTGTATCACGTGCCTCCCTCATTCATAACCCTCCAGTGCTTCCCCTCACCCTTAGATTAGAATCCAGTCTCCCCAGCATGACCTAAAAAGGCCCTGCCTGAACTGGTTTGCTACCCTCTCACCATCTCCCATCAGCCACTCTAGCCTTCTTTGAGCTCCCTGAGCTCATTTCCACCTCAGGGCCTTTGCATCAGTTGTACCCTTGGCCTAGAATGGTCTTCCCCTAGATCTTTAAATGGCTCTCTCTTCTGCCATGCAAGATTCAACTCTAATCCTCCCTCCCTAGAGAGGCCCTCTGACTGACAGGATGCAGCTATCACCTCCCCTATGGAGTGTCAGCAAATGAAGCAAAATTGAAACTCCTCTCTTGATCTGTTCACGAACTTTCTGCCCATCTATCTAAAATCAGTGCAAACAGCTGACATGTAAGAAGTGCTCAGTTATACCCCTCCCAGCCAAGGTTTGAGACCCAAGCTGGCTCAAGCCTGGGCACTCCAGGGCTCACGGTTCCCTTGGTCAGGTCCCTGGATCACCCAGGTGCCACACTCTCATGGCCTCTGCCAGCCAACGGTTCGGTCATCCCAGTACCCCAAGGATCCCTGCTCCCAGGTCAGCCTGGGCATATGCTTCCTCACACCCGCATCACCCAAGGCAAGGAGGAGCCTGGGCTCATATAGAAGGAGCATTCTCCCAGGAGCCTTGGGAACTTCTCTGCTTCCTTAACCATGAGTGACCCTAACCCTTCTGACCTGCACGGGCTTCCTAACTTGAACCACCTTGTGCAGCAACAAGTACCTTAGAGACACTTAGCACAGCAAATCAAGGTGCAGGCACACACAGAAAGGCCTGGCCAAAGAATCCCAGCTCTGCTCCCCACCACTGATATGGCCTCAGGAGGGATGCTCGCCACTCTGAGCCTTAGTATTACCTTCCCAAAAAATGAAGCGTACTAACACTGCCCACATCACAGGGCTCTGTGAAGACTACAGAAGATGGTGTGTGCAGTGCTCTTAAAGGGCCTTCTAGAACCCTCTTGGGTCTTAAAGGGAACCAACTGGCTGCCCAACTCCAAGTCAGATGTTCAGAGAAGGAGCACACAGCTCAAGTTCTTCAGCCTTGCAGACCTTCGTCCCTGGCAGCTGTCAGAGCAGGTTTTTTTTGTTTTTTTTTTTTTGTTTGTTTGTTTGGTTGGCTGGTTGGTTTTTTGTTATTGTTGTTTTTTTGTCTTTTTCCTTTTTATCGGTACCGAGGATCGAACTCAGGACTGCCTGCTTGCAAGGCAGACGCTTATGCTGCTGAGCTAAACCTCCAGCCCCTAGTCAGAGCAGGTTTTAAAGCAGGGACCTCAGAGGCCCAGGCAGAAGATGGAAGCAAAGAAAGTCTGTGTGGGGACCGGGGAAGGAACAGAGGGGGGCTTCTCACCCTTTCCCAAGGAAGCGAGCACCCTATGGCCCTGCCCCCATCAATACTTGCACCTAAGGGTTGGTTCACACTTATCATGTCAAGGTACTAGAGCCACAGCAGGCATCAGGAAAGAGCTGTGAACTGGGGCCTCCCTTAAAAGTGCTCTTCCCAGCCAGGTGTGGTGGCGCAATCCCAACACCCAGGAGACTGAGGCAGGGAGATTGCTGCAAGTTCAGCACCAGCCTGGGCTACAAAGTGAGCTCAAGGCCAGCCCAAACTGCATAGCAAGATCTTACCTCAAAAACACACACACAAAAAAAACCAAAAACACAAAACAAACAAACAAAAATACTCATCTCCTCCAGCAGTATCCATTTGGAGTTAAGAATGAGTCCAGCACCATCTGCTCTCCTCCGTTGGTTTCACCTTGGGGAAATCAATCTTTACCTTGAGGGAGGGGCATTGAGAAGGCCTCTCCCCTCTCACCGTCGTCGGTCAGGCAGCAGTGCACATCTGCTGTGCACCAGGGATAGGTGCACATCTGCATCCTGTCGGCATGTACTCCACAGCCCCTGGGACTGTCAGGGACCCCACTCTGCAAAGGTCATTCCTTGACATCTCCCAGCTTGCTCCTCTCCGTATCCCCCAGCCACATGACACCCTCATTTGCTTAGCATTTGCATACATCTGCATGCTGATTTAGAGAGTCCTTACCACTAATGAAATCCACAGTGTCTACTGTCAAATCCCAAGTCATGTTTACAGCTGATGAGGCCACCTTCACCTGACCTCCCTCCAGAGTGAACGTCCATTACCCAGAACAACCAAGGGCCAGGTCGTCCTGGTTAAGGGAGTCTACACCCAGACTGACCACGGATCTGTGTCCCACTTCACAGGGTACTTGGGACCCATCTTGCTTCTCGAGCCCCATTTGACCCATGACCCTGTGCACTGAGTCAGATCCCACAAGTTCCAGAGGACTGAGGCCTGAAAACTAGCCACACCCTGACAGAGGAGAAGCAGGGTACCCCGAGGTGCACAGAGCTAGCTCTCTGAGCCTTCTCCCTGAGGCTGCTCCAACAGCTGAGATGAACCAAGAATTCTGTCCAGGATTCTCTGCCCAGTTTTCTATTCCCCACACTCTAGATCCCACATCCACAGCCACCCCCAAGAGAACCGTTACCTCACTTCCCTGTGACCTCCCCTCCACTCATAAAGCCTCATCTTTTGATGGGCAGTGCATGGGTCACAACAGAAGGAGACATCAGAGTTTGGGACCAGAGTAACCAGAGGACAAAGTGGGAGATGGGGAAGGCCAGGAAGACGAGAGCTTGAGATTGGACAAGCTGAGGTAGAGGTGTCCAATGGGCATGAATGTTGAGAGGTACAGAGTAGGCTCCTCCAGCTTGGGAGGGAAACTGAGGCTTGAGATATGAATGTGGGGTGACAGCATATACGTGGCACTTAAAGCCACAGAACTAGGTGTGATCAGTGTGATGGGGAAGCTGTCTGTGCAGAGACCGAGTCCTCAGCTGCTCCTGCAGCAAGAGGGGCAGAGAGGAACCAGCAACAGAAGCAGCAACCCTGAGGTGTGAGAAAAACGAGAGAACGGTCATGGAAGACAAGGAAGAGGGAACAATAGTGTCCAGGACTGCAGATGAGGGCTGAAACTGGCCTTTGGCTCAGCAGCACAGAGGTCACTGGTGACCTTGAGAAGAGAAGGGCAGTCAGTGGGATGCAGGAGCAACAGCCCAACGGGAGTGGAGTCAGAGGGTGAGCGGAGGGAGGTGGAGGCGGTGGAGCCAGACAGCACTTCTGGCGGGTTTTCCTAGAAAACCAAGCCGAAAGACGCAGAGGTACAGGCTGGAGGAGACAAGAAGACAATCTTCCCATGGGACAGTGACAGCAGCATACCTGCTGGGGGCACAATCCGGCAGAGAGGAGAAAAGAATCTGGCAGGGAAGAGAAACAGATGATGCAGGGGCAACTGATGACTTGCAAGGACAGTGTTCCCAGGAGGCACGTGGGCCCAAGACTTAGGGCACAAGTAGAAGAGTGGCCTCAGTAGAAGCAGGACACTTTGCTTGCAGAGAGGGAGAAGGTGGAGTCAGGTGCAGAAAGAGCAGCTCTGGGGCCTGCAGAAGTTCAGGTTATTTTCTCAAAGGCTGAAAGGGAGGGGATGGTGGAAAGGTTGGGCTGGGGGCGGAGGAGGAAGTGTGAACTAGCCGTGAGCCTGGGGAGCGGTGACGGACTCCACACAGAGCTTCTGGGGCTGGACAGCAACCAGGGCCATTCTGATCTCCCCAGGTGGGCTTCACATGGGACTGTCAAGGTACTGGTTTTCCTTGCCCCATGAATTCAGTGGCACAGATGCAGTCTGGAGCTGGCCAGATGCTGCCTTTAACCAGACCTGGGTTTTGCCAACTAATTATGAAGAAACCCAATAAAGTAAAGGAGTTGGAGTCTCCTGACTTATACAGGTAGCTGGCACCAGGCTTGCTCAAGTCCCTAAGCACTGGTGGCTAGAAGTCCCCACCAATTCTCACTGTGGGTTGTTTGGGATCTCCTCCACCCTCAACTCAAAATGGGCTCCTGAGATGTGGACCACAGGTGGCCACCACACCTTGGGGAACAGTCTCCCACATACTCTTCCTCTGACCTGAAAGGGACCTCAGACCTCAGGAGGTCCCTGAACACTCCCCCTCCTTCACCCTTCCCAAGCCTCCTGCCTTGTGCTAGCCCAACACAGGCCTCTCCATCTGTCTCCTCAGTCCCTTCCCTCCTGCCAGTGCCTCCAGACTGGTCTCTTCCACTATGAGGATCTAACCAATCCTCCTCCTCTGAACACTGTGCCAGGGTCATTCCCTCTGAAGAGCCCTTCAGTGGCTCCCAGTACCCCTGGGGAAAGGCCAACTGTGGCTCACAATCCAGGACAGCTCCAGCCTGGGCCCTTCTGTCTCAGTCCCTATGCCCTCTCCTCTCCCTCTTTTTCTGGGTCTCCTCTGTTACACATCAACAGACTCCAACTGGCTTGTGACCCCCACCTCATGTCCATAGGACCCCCAACTCTCTGGCATCTGGTCTGAAGTAGATGTCCAGCAAGCTTTGCTAGTGCATGGATATGTATGTGCGGGGCACAGGTGACCAGGTGGATGAAGCTTCCAGAGGCAGGGAGGTGGGAGGAGCAGGACTGAGATAACGGGTCTCCTCAGCCAAGTAGCCTAACAGGACAAGCTAACAGCACATGCTTCCTGATGTGACACACTGAGGAGGGTACGAAATCACCTATGGGATGTGCTTGTCCAAAAGTGTTTAACCTGAATCTAATTATGAGCAACTAAGAAGACAAATGTAGAATACAGAATATTCCTCAAGACTTCAAAATGGACAAATCACTTGAAAAAAAAATTGTAAATCAAGGCACCTATCCAGATTAAATGAGACATAATAACTAAGTAAAATGCATATTCCTTGACCAAAAAAATTTAATAGCTACACAAGACATTACTAGAGTAACATATTAGGTCTAATCATATCATTACTGAATTTCTCAGGTATGATAATAGTATAGCCATTTTGCTATAGTACAGCCAGACAGGAAAATATCCTGTCTGGAAATTCATGCTGAAGCATTCCCAGACAAAAGTGTTTGGATGGCTGCAACTTACTTTCAAAAGATAGGTAGGGTAGGCAGGTAAACAGACAGACAGACAGAAAAGCCAATGTTGCAAAATGTTAATAACTGGCAAATCTGGGTCTCTAGGTAAAGGGTGTGTGGGGGGTGCCTGGTGTGCTAGTGGGTGTGACAAGATCAGAAGTGAGGTCACAGAAGCACAGGCAGATGCTTCAGAGACGGCTGTACCAGGGTGGCCCATGACCCTGCCCCAGGCTGAATGCTGGAGTCACACAGGTCAGGCAGGCACACCTGACTCACTACCAAAAGAGGGCCAGACCCCAAGACAAAGACTCCCCTAGGAGCAAACTCTCAAGGGGAGCTAGGACTAGCAAAACAGCCAGCCCAAAGGACCCCAGCAGGACAGCTCTCTGCCAGGGCAGAGACCTGGACCCATCTCTGTCAGCTGTGGTACGGAGCTAGGTCTGGCCCTAAGTCACCCCAACCCTCCAAACATGCCTTAGGGGTGACAGCCTGAGTGTATCCTCCTGTTCAAGGAGCCAGGCTAAATATGGAGCCTGAGACATAAGATGCCGCTCAAAACAGATTTTCCTGGAAAAGACCATCTGGCAATGGAAGTCTAGAGCATTGTCTGTCACAGGAGGCAGCGCAGATCTCCTGCACGCTAATGTCCGGAATGACAATGCTTTTATCCTGCCTTCCTAAGAGACCCCATGTTAGTGCCCCAGTTTCCCCAAGGTCACCCCAAGGCACAGATAGAGTACACACAGGCCCACCTCTCTCCTAAGCTGAATCTTTAGGGAAGAAGAGGATGAGGTTAGGGACATGGGTCTGAACATCAGAAAGTTCTCCCCTGGCACAAATCCTGCCTCTGTCACTTACTAACCAAGTGACTTCAAATAAGTAACTTCTGCCTGAGCTCTAGCACCCTCTCCACAAAATGGAAGGAATAGAGCTAGGGATTTAGCTCAGTGGTGTAAGTGCCTGCCTGGCAAGCACAAGATTGTAAGTTTGATCCCTGGTACAAAAAAAGGAAGGAATAGCTGTGCCTCCATCTCAAGGCTGTGGGACGTACCCAGCATAGTGATGCCACTCAGTAGATGGAAGCTGGAAAGGAAACACCCCCAGCTCCTCTCAGTCTTGCTAAGAGCAAGAAGTCACTCTTTCCAGCTGGCTTTACCCCGCCCCTTCAGGAACAACCTGGGAGGCACTATGGGCAGGACTCTGGAGCAGTGTGCACCCCATAACCAAGACAAGCAGCAAGAAAGGGACCTCTCAGCCCAGCACAGGGCAAGCCTGGGGCTTCAAGGTACAAATAACCCAAACATTGAGATTTCAACCTTGCCAGGGACACTAGCAGGGGAGGCCTTTCAAGCGCACCTTTTCACGCCTCCATCTTTAGCTGGGGCCACTACCCACCTATTCACCTCAACATGCAGGACCCCTCTGAGGGTTCCAACTGCACCCTATGGGTCTGCCATATTCTACCAGGACAAAACATTGCAGAAGTCTCACTTGAAATTATTGTCTCTGCCACACAGCAGGAAAAAGGGCTTTGGGAGGACAGATTTCTCCTCTACAGATGTGAGGTGGGAAGCAAAAGGCCTGCTGGCCATGTCACTGACTCAGAGAACCCAGCTCACAGAACTCATGGCTTCCCAGTGAGACTGAGTCCTAACCTCCCAGGAGAGAGAGTGGAAGGTCTGTATCTGCCAAGGGCCAGGGGTTGGCCTTCAAATATACCTCACCCTGTGTCCTGGAAGCTGGCGAAAGACTGCATTGAACAGTTCTGTCCCCATGGTCTGGAAGGAGCTGGGAAACCAGGAGAATCCAAACCCCTCCTCCCAGCCCCAGGCTGCCCCTGCATGGCAGCCAAACCCCGAGTCCTCTTCTTAGTCCTGAGCCCGCCTGGAGTCTTGCACCCTCTTCCACTGTGACTGCTACATCTGCCCCCAGCTCACAAGATGGCCTCAAGACAAAAGGGTGGACCCTGGACATGGCCCCCCCAGGCCTGTGCAGGAACAATGACCCCAGTTTTCATTGCAGGGAGCCCTCAGATTCTCCAGGGACATCAGGAGTCTGGATACCTCCTCCTAGGAGGGGGCCAACTGATGGGGGTGGGCCCCGAATCTAGACTCCCTGACCATCCAGTCCTGGGCCTCTCCAAGGCCCCCTCCATTCGTGCTGCCGCCACAGCCATTATTTGTCTCCTCTTCTGCCTGGTGCCTGCCACGCCCCCACGCTAGCCCCTGCTCTAGCGGTGGAGCCAGCCAGCCTGGGAGGCCTGGCCACCGAGCCCGGCTGTCAAAGTTGGGAAAGTGGAAACAGAAATAAATCCTCAAAGCTGCTCCGTTGTGACGGTGGCTGCTGGCAAGGCCCCAGCACCCAATGCTCGGAGAGCATGGACCACCAAACTGCCACTGGCACTCCATCGCTGCACATGTTTACACTCAGATTATACAAAAGGGGGAGGGGAACCGGAGGTAGCGCCCAGGAGATAATTGGGCTGGCCATCCCTGACCCTCCCTGTAGGCTGGGCTGGGGCTTTTTACAGCACCCCCACTCCGTGGCCCAGACCCGGCCATCTCGGGCTTCCTCTCTCGGCCCCATCTCCATGACAACCGTATCCTTCGGATGCTCCAGCCACAGCGGAATTGATCTCAAAATGTAGCTTTGTTAGCAGACCCCAGCGGGCACAGAGGGCGGAGGGTGGCTCCCTGCCACCCTGCGTAAGTCTCTCTGCCCACACCGGGGACCCTCCTGGTCCCCAGCCCGGCTTCAGGAGGGGAGGGGCGGGGTCCCGAGCGCGCTGGTCCCGGGGACCCGGTGGCCCGCGCCCCACTCACCGTTCCGGGTGCCCGCCGCTGGATCTAGCGTCTCACGGCGGGTCCATGCGGAGGCCGCCCTGGACCGGCCGTCCCGCCCCTCGGCCGCCTGTCCCGGCTCCCGGCCCGCGTCTGTCCCTTCAGGTGGCGGAGCGGCGGCTGCGGAGAGGCTGAGCAGGGTGGGGGACGGACGGCAGCTGGAGGGAGGGAGCAGCCGGGCAGAGGAGGAGGGAGCGGCGGGAAGGCGGGGAGGGGCGCGGAGGAGGGGCGCGGCGGCCGCCCCGCAGGTCTCCCGCGGCGCAGGGCCCCGCGCTCGCTCCGGACCCGCCGCCTAGGGGGCGCCTTCAACCCCGCCCGGCGCCGCCCGAGCCCGGCCCTTTAAGAAAGTGGGGGAGGGACGCGCCGAGAGGTTCCGCCCCTTCCCGGCCCCGCCTGCGAACCCCGGGAGACCCGCCCACCGTCCCAGGCGGGAGCACCCCAAACCCAGCGGCGAGCTAGGACCGCCCAGCCCCCCGCAAGGTGAAGGGGCGGGCCCCTGTCCTCCTCCCGCGGACCCTGGGTCTTCAGACTTCTGTCATCCAGCACCCCATATGCACACTCCACAACACACTGCCACCCCGGGGACACTCAGAGGAACACCCCGACCTGTGGTATGTGTGACCAGGGCAGACAGGGACCCGGCTTGGACGGAGCAGGAACCAAGAAAGACCCTGGGCCAGGTGGGAGGAGGCAGGCAAGCAGTGAGTCCGACCGAGGGTGCTCGTCCCAGCACAGGCCAGGCCAGGCCATCCTAGGCGGATAAAAAGGGCGAAGAGAAAGCTGGGGGGCTACGGAGGCCCCTCCCAAGGCACCTGCCTCGGCCCCTCCCCCAGGGCTGGTCTTGACCTTGAAGCCCTGGGCTGGGTCCGGGGCTCTGGTTCTAAGAGACTGGCCCACTCTGTACTTGGACTAGACATTTGGAAGAACTTCCTGGTTGTGAGCGCCTTGCAAAATAAGATCCCACCTCCCAGAGAGGTAGACCCCGACCTCAGCCACAGGACCTAAGAACAAGGGAAATCAGGTGAGTCAGGCACTGCCACAGGAAGCTGCTCTCCACTCCTCCGCCTCCACTCCAGCCAGCCCCTGCTCACCTCCTCACCTCCTCACCTTAGCAGAATTCCACCCTCTTCCCGCTGGGGTCTTGATTCTGCGGTACTCAGTGAATCCCTGCTCAACCCTCAAATCCCTCTTTAAAGCCCCTTCTTCCATGAAGCCTTCTCTGATCTGCTTTACACACACACACATTTGGGGATTTCTTTATAGGAAGCAGCAGTAGGATTTGCTGGCCTATGAAGGATGTGGGACCTTTTCAGGGTGGCATCTGAGCTATGACTGGTCTCTTGGCCTCAAGCTGGGCTATAATAGCTGGAGCTGGGATTTCATCAACAACGGGGCAACCTCTGCTATTAAGTGTGCACCTACAACATGCCAGAGTCCACAATGAGTGCTTTTCATATGTCCTATTTGATCTTCTTAGGAACTATTTGATCCTACAGCTGTGCATGGTGAAGCACACCTATAATCCCAGCACTTGAGAGGCTGAGGCAGGAAAATCACCATGAGTTCGAGGCCAGGCTGGGCTATATAAGTGAATTCAAGATCAGGCAGCACTACATACTGAGATCCTGTCTCAAAAAAGCAAAACAAAACAATAACAAAAAAAATTCTGCATTGAAAAAAATACTTATAAAAGACATTAAGACTTTTTTTTTTTTTTTTTTTTTTTGTCTTTTTGAGACAGTCTCGCTGTACAGTTCAGGCTGGCCTTGAGCTCATTTTGTAGCCTAGGCTGGTCTCAAACTCATAATGATCCTCCTGCTTCAGCCTCCTGAGTGCTGGGATTACAGGCATGAGCCACCACTTGTGGCAAAAGACATTTTTAAAAAAACAACCCTACAGTCAATTTTATAAATAAACCAGAGGCTGCAAGAGCATAAGTCATCTGCACAGGAGTCTGAGCTCACCAAGCTGTAGGGCAGTTGAGAAAGCACTCAGACCACAGCCCCCACTGCCCGTCAGACCCCAGACATTCAGCGCCCAGAAGCAAAGGGGCAGTCCCCTCGCGGGGCCCAGAGCCCCCTGGAAGAGCACTCAGGGCATGGCTTCCCTGCTGCTCTGCAGGCCAGCACGAAGGACCACTCTTAACAGGCAGGGCTTCGGAGGGAGGCGGGGGGAACAGCCTTCGATCCCGCATGCCTCACCTGGGAACCCTTGCGCCAGGTCACAGCTGGACATGTCTGGGTTTCCGTTTGCTCACCCACCCCAAGAGGAGAGTAACAGGCTCTCTTCCACAGACCCGGGGTGGGACAGAAGGAGCTGATGTGTTCAGTGCCACCCACAAAGGCCTGGCACACAGAGGCACTCGCAGGCCATGGCCATTTACTCAGTGAGTGGGTTGCTTTCGTCTGGTCCACCAGATGGGCTCTGAGCCCAAATCCCAGTGGTTACTGGAATGGGAAATGGACAGGATGGAGGAGAAAAGACGCTGGCTCTTCATCAAATGTGGGCCAATCAAGACAGGAAAAGCTGCAGTGGAGTCTATAAAACAAGAGTCTCTAAATTCCTCCTCTCCATCTTCTTACAGCTAAACTAGAACTTACAACAAGAAATCTCAGACGTATAGATAAACCCATCAGTTAGAGAGGTCTAAGAGCCAGCTGGGTACAATCACTATTCCAGTCCCTTAAGAGCAGTTTCTGCCTTTCCATCCTAGTGCTCATGCTTTGAATATGCATGCTTTAACTTCCTGCAAAATTTGTTTATTCTGGTCTAGGGGCTACCAAACTCCAAGTGATCAAGCAGGTGGGACCAACAATAAATGTGCCAGACTCCTTTTCCAGGATCTCCAGATCGGCCTTGAGAAGACTTCGTAACTGCGGAACTACAACACGACTTCTACCTGAGGCCCATTACGTTAGCTCTCCAGAGGAGGCCCCTGACTGTTTTCCCCTACAAGTCTTGTTAGTTGAAAGCAACTTGATGGGATCTACACTCCCTCTCCCCTAACTGTGGTTAGGGGTACACTCCCTCTCCCCTAACTGTGGTTAGGGTACACTCCCTCTCCCCTAACTGTGGTTAGGGTACCTCTTCAGAGGGGGTGTATATGGACAGCTACGGTAAGCAGAAACCCAGTAGGGAAACAGGGCTGGGCTCTCCAGGGAGTCAGTGCCAGAGATGAGAATGCTGCAGGCCTGTGGCTGGAGGCACATCGTAAGGTTAGAGTCACAATGGCCAGGCTTACATGCTTCCCCAAGGAATGGGAGGCGTGGGGTTATCGGTATCTCCCTTTTGAGATTTCCCATCATCTCATTAGGTGTGGGTAATTCTATTCCACCTACTAAGACTCAGACTAAGACTGCTAAGACTAAAAACAAGACTAACACCATAGATTATTTTTTTGTTTTTTGTTTTTTTGTCTTTTTCATTTTTATTGGTACCGGGGATTGAACTCACGACTGCCTGCTTGCAAGGCAGGTGCTTATGCCGCTGAGCTAAATCCCCAGCCCCAACACCATAGATTATTGACCAAGGTAAATGATGTCACCCGGCCACCCCTGCTACCATTACAGCAATATTACTTAAGTGATTAGACTTGCAATCTTATTGGTTGATCCTAACTTTGACCCACATCCTACCCACCTCATGATCTCGCTCTGTAATACTTCCTTTGAGAGGTGGACTCCTTGGGGCCCCACTCAGGAGCCCTCCTGTCTCTCAGGAGTTATTCCTATTTCCCATTCCCTCGATCCTGTTCCCCATTCCTTTTCTCCAATAAATGTCCTCACTTTTAAAAAATCTGGGCCAGATTTTGGTGCTGGAACTGAGGCTCTGGCTGGACACGCTCCTGTCCTTCACAGCTCTGTGTGCCTGTCCCATCCCAGCCTTGTGGCCATGGGCAGCTGTGACATGCCCTGGCCTCACTTGCCCCTCTCGTCTCATGGAACCAGCTCATGTCTCAAGGCCACCTGGTCTAGAGGGCAAGAGTCTTGGTTGCCCCGGGCACAGAAGCAGAAGAATGGTCATGGCTCCTTGCAGCTACCCTCACACTATGCAAAAAAGCAGGCTCAGGGTCCCTATCCAGCAGCCAAACCCCAAGGCCCCAGCCGTCCAGGGAGAGAGGAGCCAGCAGCTCAGCCACCTCCTCCCTTGCCACCCCCCCTCACCTTCGGGGGGGAGGTCTCAGAAGTGGGCATGGGAAGTGGGGCCAAAGACCCCCACACACCCCATGGGCACACACTGAGAGTTCGCCCCACATTGCACACTGACTGGTGCATGGTTCAAGGGGAGACCACAGAGATATGGGGGTCCGGCTGCACTGGGAATGGTCAGCGCCCTGAGCAGGTGCAGGGGCTCAGCTCCCAGCCCGCCTCCGCTCTGCCACCATGAGGCCCTGCCAGACCCCCGCCTCCCTGCCCGGGCTCAGTGCCTCCCTCAGCTGAGCAGAGGGGAGGCCAGAAGCCAGCACCTGCTGACTGGGGGACTCATCTTGGCTCAGTGGTCCCTGAAATTTTCCTCTCTGGAGTGGGGGGCGAAGAGGGGCAGCCAGGTAAGGAGCTCCAGAGGCCTCAGCCCCCCAGCACCTTCCCGGCCCCTGATCCTCTCCTGATGCTCTGAGGCTCCTCCCACCCTCATACCCCAGCCATTTGCAGTGGCCCCTGCCAAGGTGCCTTCCCTTGAGCTGCCCTCCCTTGGCCAGCTCTAGAGACTCTCCTGTCACTCACGGTTTCTCTCTCCCCACACTGGCAAAAAGCTCCCTGAGAAACGTGTCCAAGCTGGCTGTCTGCAGTTCCTCTCCCATTCCTCTCTCTCCAGAGAGCGCTCTGACCTAGCCACTCCCTCCGCCTCCCCAGCCGGGCCTCTGGCCTTCCTTTTCTACCCCACCCCTGAACATTCAATGCCCCAGGCTGGGTCTTCTGCCCCCCACCCTCGGGCAGTCCACCCTGGCTTCGAAACCCCACCTACCTGGCCCTCTATCCCTGCCTGCAGTGATTGACAGTTTGCCTCCCATGGGCCCAGGAGTCACCTTTCCCTCCCTTTCTCGAATCCTACATCTAATCCTTGGACAGCTCCGCTGGCCCTGTCTTTGCTCAAGCTTGGACTAGATCGTGGTTACCATCTAACTGGTCCTCTGTTTCCACCAGCCCCTTCTCTCTGCTGCTGCCTGCGCAGCAGTCTAAGGGACCCTGTGAAATGAAAGTGGATCACTGCCTCCCAGCTCAGAATCCTTCAAAGGTTCCTGTGTAACTTAAAGTCACACAATGTCTTCACATTGGCCATTAAGTCATGTACAATTTGGCCCCAACTCCTCCCCAATCTGACTCCTCTGCAGCCAGTCTGACATCCTATGCCTCACATCCCAGGCACACTCTGGCCACAGGACTTTTGCACTGGTGGAGTTTCCTCTGCTGGAAGCCCTCCTGCTCTGGTAACTGCATCACCCACCTCCCACTTCCTCTACCTCTCTACACAAAGTCATCTTCCCTGACAACTTCCTAAAGTACCACTGCTCCACTCTCATCTTCCATTTCTCTGCTTTCTTTTCCTCCAAAAGTGTGAGGCTTGGCCTAATGGCACACACCTGTAATCCCAGTACTCAGGAGGATGAGGTGGGAGGATTGCCACAAGATTGAGGCCAGCCTTGGCTACATAGGGAGAACCTGTCTTTAAAAAAAATTGTGTGTGTTTCTAGTAATGGATACTGAACCCCAAGGCTTCACATTGAATTATATGGCCTTTTCTGTTCGTTCGTTTGTTTGTTTTTGATTTTGATTTTTAAAACAAGGTTTCACTAAGTTACTAAATGGCCCAGGATGGGCTTGGCCTTGTATCCTCCTGCCTTGGCCTCCCAGAGGGCTGGAGTGTTAGGGGTGCACTGCTACCCCAGGCCATAAGGCGTTGATACTGTTTACTTGCTTTTTCTGATTATCTGACTTCCCACCATTGCTAGGCCATGAGCTCTGAGAAGTAAAGCTTTGCTCTTTCACTTCTACGTCCTTACAGACTGGAACGGACCCTGGCCGAGTATATGCACAACCGCATCAGCAGGTAAGAATGGCCATAACTTGAGTACTGTAAAGTTTTGAAACACACACTGGGAGTGTGGCCAGAGAACTGGGGTCTATGCAGCAGGTGACTGGGCAGGCCCCCTCCAGGCTCGCACAAGGCAAGGCTCCCCTCACCGCACAGGTCACAAAGGACCTGCTCCCCCTCTCTTGAGTCCTCATAGCAGCCCTGAGCCAAGACCAGCGTGCAGTAGGCACACGAAGGGGGTGAATCAAAGCCTGAGGGCCAGGCACAGACAGCCCTGCCAGCAGAGGACCAAAGGGACCACAAGAGGGAGCCCAGGCAGACGGAGCTGCAGAGGCCAGGTGAGTCCTTGGGTCTCCTGTGAACGGGGACACTACCTAGGACACCAGCTAGGAGTGGGAGAAGGAGCAACCATTCCCACTGGACAGCTCCTGGTGTGAGGGCCAGCGACTGCAAAGGAAGGGCTGCCCAGGGGCCCTGTCCCTGTCGCCATCCCTATCCCCGAGGAGAGCAAGGCCAGGCCAGGGACAGAGACCACCCCTCCCCCGCAAGCACGCGGTCAGCCCTGGTCAGGGCCGGGGGACAAAGCCCCGCGGGGAGTGCCAGGGACTTGCAGTGCCCAGAGCCAGCAGGCCGCCGGCCCGGGGCACAGCAATGCGTGGCCCAGAACTTCATCTGAGGGCCTTTGTAGCCTCCGGGAGCCTGTCCAGGAGGACGCCTGGGATGGCCAGGATGTCTGGGGTGCGCACCTCCTGTTTCCTGGGGTCCAGCTGGCCACGCAACCTGGGTGATGGAGCGCTGGAGGGAGGACCCGATCCATCCTCCCAAATTCCCAGGGACGGGGAGGTGCCGCCGCGCTGTGCCCCGAACTCGGGCTGCCAGGAGGCTCCTGGGGGGCAGGTCCCACCTTCCCCACCGAGGTCCCGGGAGGATGGTGAGGTGGGCTGAGTTAGGATCTGGGCTCTCTTCTCGCTCCAGGTGCTCCCTTAGAAAACTCGCAGGAAGGAGAAAGGAAAGCCAAAGCGAAGGGTCCCCGACCCCTGTGGCTCTCGTCGGGGCGGGCGCCGCGGGGCGCGAAGCCGGGGGCGCGGCGGGAGGGGCCGGGCCCAGCGCGGCTCTCTGCCCCCCTCTGCTGGCCGCATGCAGAGTTACCGGAGCTTGGCGTCGCCCGCCGCACGGCGCCCCCGCTCGCCGAGACAGGGACCCCGAGCCTGAGCTCCAGCCCAGGCGTCTATCGCCAGCCTCCGTGTCGCGATGGGCGCTCTTCCCGGAAGTCCTTTATGTGGTCCAGCCTGAGCCCTGGTCAGCTTTGCCCAGGCTGACTTCGAAGGCCATGCTGTCACACGCCTCGGGCAGAAAAGGGGGGCTCCCCTGACTCCCCCAGAGCGACCGAGGGCCCCTCTTCCCTACGCCACGGCCACCGACAACTGGGTGTGCAGACACCTCGCCCCTCTTCCCGCAGTCGGGACCTTGGGGGTCTATCGGGACGAGATCCAGAGGCCACCTGGTCCAAACTCGGGGATCCCCGCAAAAAGAGTCTATGAGGTTCTTTTTTGGCTCAGGGCGCCACCTCCTGATGGCTATAGGAACTGCACCTCCAGGCTGCGCGGGAAGCCTTGGAGGTGACCGCGGACTTGGATGAAGCCCCGGGCCCTGCTCAGCTTGGCACATTATCCCCTTCCATCCTCACAGCAACTCATAGGGGACGTCATTCATCCCGTCTTGGCTTCCGGGACACTGTTGCTCCTGGAAAGTTTTGACTCGCCTCAGAACACTCCTCCAGGAAGTGGTGGAGCCCTGACTCTGCGTCCCCTGTGCCTTAACTCGGCCTAGGAACAGTTCACACCGGGGTGAGCAAATCCCCTACCCTAAACTTAGAAAAGCTCCATTTTAGCTTAGCTTGAAGCTCGTCCGTATTAATCTCTTTGTCCAGCGTGGTGAGTCCCCTCCATGTACTCAGCTTCTCTGCCCCAGGCCCCTCCCCGATTCCTGCAGGCGCTGCCCACGTCTCACTAACTGCCCAGTCCACAGCTGGGGGAACGTTGTACATGACTTTTTTTTTAGACAGGGTCTTGCTTTATAGTGCAGGTCTTGAATTCATTATATAGCCCAGGCTGACCTCAAATTCATAGCCATCTTCCTGCCTCAGCCTCCCACGTGCTAAGATTATAGGCACGTGCCTCCATACCTGGCAAAATTTAGTATATCTTTTAATCTGAATATCCCAGACTCTAAAAGGAAGGAAATTAATTCTACTAGGTGTAGCGGTGCACAGCTGTAATCCCAGCACGCAGAAGGCTGAGGGAGAAGAATTGGAAGTTCAAGGCCAGCCTGAGCTACATAATGATTTCAAGGTCAGTCTGAATTATATAGCAGGACCCTGTCTCAGAAGAAAAGAAACAAAAAAAGGATGGTAGGCAGTGCTAACACCTGCTACAACATGGTGTATAAAAAAAATGATGCTAAGTGAAATGAGACAGGCTCAAAAGGACAAACGTTTTCTGATTCCATATATCTGAGATATCTAGACTATGCAAAGTCAGAGAGAAGGAAGGAGAATAAATGTTACTGGGGGATGAAGGGGGGAAGATGGAGAGCTTTTGTTCTGGGAAGAAATATTAGGGATAACTACACAATATTCAGAGTGCGCCTAATGGCACTAAGTTGTACATTTAAGATATAGTTTGTGACAAGAAACAAAATCAAATGGCCTACTAAAAAATAAGTATTATTGAGGGTCTACTACGTTAGAAACTTATCTAAGGCCTAGAGGGTATGGAGGTCACTGGGAGTCACATGAGCTCAGACAAGTGCCATCCAGCCCCATCTTCTGTTCCTTTTGCTCTATTAGGCCCCTGGCTGGGTAAATCAGGGAAGGCAATTCTGACACATGTGTTTCAAGACATTTTCAAGAGATCTGACAGCTGTGCTGAGACCATGGGGAAGAGCCACAGCTAGACCCCAGGTCCATGACTTCATAGCCACTAAAGTAACTTGTCAGATCATGGACAAATAAGACAGGAGCCAGGTGTGATGGTGCATACCTGTAATCCTTAGCCTCAGGAGGCTGAGGCAGGAGCGTCTCTGGGAGGTGGAGGCTAATCTAAAATACATAGCAAGACCCTGCCTTAAAAAAAATAATAGGTGGCATGAGAGGAGGTCCTTAGAAGCATACTGTCAGGTGCTGTCATTGGTCCTGAGCTTGCATGGACGTGTTCGTTCTTGCTGCGTTTTAATCAGTGATTTAGATGAAGACCTAGAGGCTCACTCAATGTGTTTTTAGAAATGATGTCAGAAAACAAAGAAAAAACTGAATGGTTAAGACACAGTGTCTAGAGCCAGAATACCTAGGTTCTAAGCCCAGCTCTGCCACTTACTACTAGGTCAGTGTAAGCAAGCTACCTAACCTCTCAGTTTCCTCTTCTCTGAAAGGGGATAATAACAGCTTCATCACAGGGCTCTCTGAGCCAGCTCAGGGTTAGGGAATGGCACACATTCTCTAGTGTGCTAGTCTTGTGCTGTCAGGACCATCTGGGGCCCAGGAGGGGTTAATTCAAAGTCAACAAGATGGGGTTTATTGAGGACAAATGGAAAAGCTCACAATCAGCTTCCAACAGAGCAATTATCAAGTTCCAAGTCAAGGAGAGCGGGCTGGGCATCTGTCCATTCATCTGTCCATGAGAAACAGCCTGAGGTGTCCAGTCGACTTCCAGAGAAACTGCCACAAACCATGTCAGTATGACTGTAAGGGATATTTATCAAGGCGTGGCATCCTGAACTGAGGGGGTGACATCCCTACTGTGGTCTGAGCTGAGAACTCAGTGGTAGAGGAAAGTATAAAATAGATCAAGAAATGTCATAAAACTAAGCTTACTCCTACCCTGTGATTCAGCAGTTCTGCTCATAAATACCCCACAGAAAAGAAAACACATGTTCACACAAAAATGTGCATGAGAAAGTTCACCACAGCTCTAGTCACCATGGTCCCAAACTAGAAATAGTCCAGGTGTCCATCAAGAGGCAAGGGCTTGAGCAAACAATTACATACCCATACAGTGGCATTCTACTTAGGAATAAAAAAGGAGCAAACCACTGATGTATCCGACAGTATGAGTCTCCAAAACATTATGCTGAGTGAGATAAGCTAGACATAAAATAATACACAGGGCATTCCAAAACCAGGACAGCGTGGATGAGAAGCCAACAAGGAAACTTGCAGGAGTCCTGGAAATATCCTCTGCCTTGATATAGTTGGCTATACAAGTCTATGTGCTTGTCAAAATTCAACAAATGATATACCTGAGGTTTGCATGTATGAGTTAGGGTTCTCTAGAGAGACAGAATTAATAATAAAATATATGTATAATTCCACAGAGAGATTTATTAAGCGGGCTTAGAGGATCACAGGCGAAAGTCACGACAGCCATCTGCAGGCGCAGAGGTGGAAGAACCCGGAATAACCGTCTGGCACTTCGACGGCCGGATCTATTCGCTGTGGGAGATCAAAGTCCTGGAAGCTCGCTATAGAGTATCTGGTGTGGGTCTGAGTTAGAACCCGAAGAAACTGCAGATCAACGTTCAAAGGCTGGAGCTCTTCAAGCAAAAGGGGTCACTTCCTTCTTTTCTCCCTTTTTAGTCTGTCCAAACTACAAACTTATTGGTTGGTGCCATCCGCATCTGGGGTGGGTCTTCTCCCTCCGTTTGTTGGCCTACATGTCAATCATCCACAGACACACCCAGAATTTACTAATCTGCTAGGCAGTTTTTACTCGTCACATTGACGTGACACAGTTAATGACCACAGTGCATTTCATTGTGATATATTTTGACTCAAACAAAGAACTGGCCAGGTGAAGTGGTTGCACATTTGTAGTCCTAGCTACTTGAGAGTCTGAGGCAGGAGGATCCATTGAGCCCAGGAATTCAAGACCAGCCTGGGCAACACAGCTTGTCTTTAAAAAAAACGAAAAGGAGGCGGAGGAGGAGGGAATAGAAAAAAGAACCAACCAATATGAGGCTTGGTGATAAAGCACTGGCATGCACAAAGCCCTAGGTTCAATCCTCAGTCCTGGGGAAAAAGAAAAAACAACCATGCCAAAGTATTGAACTTCAGTTAATAAGATACATGTTGAAGTGTTTGGATGGCAAAATACATTGATATCTGGAGGTTGCTTTGATGTCATTCAAAAAAGAAAATAAATTGAAAGATAATGATAAAGCTAATACACTACAAATTGTAAAATCTGGGCGGTGGCTATATGGGTGCTTACTGTGAAACTTTTTCAATTTTTTCAAATATTTCCAACCTTAACAGAAAAATGTAGGAGAAAGTGTCGCCAGTGGGTGTGGCACGGGAAGTGGGCATGCACAGCTGTTAGCACGGAGAGCCAATAGCATAGCGGGGTCACCTTTCCGGAAGCAGTGTTGGAAGCAGTGTCCTCAACGTGTATTGAACAGTCTGGCCTTCCAATCCAGCAGTTCTACTGCGGAATTTATCCTGAGGAAAGTGAAGATGGATGCACAAGCTACAAGACTGTTCATTGCAACATTGAATATAATGACAAAAAAAATGGGAATGGCTCAGATCTCCTGAAGTAGCTCACTGGTTTTAAAAATGCATCTCGATGCACTAGAGTACCATGCAGCCATTTAAAAAAACAGCGCAGCCAGGGCTGGAGTGAGACTAAGTGGCAGAGCACTTTCCCAGCACACCCGCGTCCCTGAGTTCCATCCCTAGCCCCCCCCCCTTTCGCCCCCCAAGAAAAGATGCAGCACACACCACAAATATTTGCCAAAGTGGAAAAAACAGCCTCCATATACATTGGGTTTTTTAAAAAAGCAGGAAAAAATTTTAAACATTTTTAAAAAGCAGGTCTCTGGGGTCACCTTGACACCATCCCACATGATGACATGTGGGGTAAGGATCATGTTCACGGCATCCCTGATCTTTGCCCGGCGTCCTGGGGGAGCCAGGACTGAAGCCTTCCTCCCTCCCTTCTGCAGGAGCAGCAGGAAGGCCGAGGCGGTGAGCGCCAGCGGCTGCTGAGGCCTGCTGGCAGGCAGCACTTGGGGAAATGCTCCCTACATCTCCAGCCTGACCCTTCAGGAAGGGAATTTTCTTCGGTCATCAGATGTACTGCATTCTTTTTATGCTGATCCCTGGTCTTCCAGAACAGGCTGGTTTCACAACCAAATCTCCCTTCCAGGTATTACATTAGACAGAGATTGCCTATGTACCCTACGAGGCATCCTGTAAGCTTCAGGCTAATCCTGCTTTTGCCTCTCACTTTTTTTTCTTTAGAGTCTCACTATGTAGTTCAGGTCTTGAACTCACTGTGCAGCCCAGACTGGCCTAAACTCATGGACCCATGGCAGTCCTCCTGCTTCAGCCTCTGGAGTGCTAGGATTATAAGCCTGCACATCACACTCTTCTGTGCCTTGTATTTTAACACATGCATGGGTGTCAGCTCAAGAAAAGTGACCTGGAGCGGGGATTATCTTTGGGTGGTGAGAACCGGGATATTTTTTTCCCCGTGACAATGTATTGTCTTATGTATTGAGAAAAACTATCACCACAGAAGGAGCCAGTCCCAACCACAATGCACCCAGTGGCGAGTTGCCCAGCTGATGAGGTGCTGGAAACCTTGTTTATGGGAGACAGGGAGGGGGACATGCAGACTCCTCTGGCCTGCATGCAGCAGAGGCTACTTGCTCTGTGAGGCTCAGGGCTGGCCGGTTCCCACAGCCATGCAGCACCACCAGCCAGCTCAGCTTCCCTAAAACCACCATACAATGGAGCAGTGACCTCCTCGTCACAGGAGCTGTGCCAGCAAAATGGGCAGCCCACTGTCAGGAGGACCAGCGAGGGGATTTCCAGGCTGGCCAAGAAAATGCAGCAAAAGTCTCTGAGGTCCAGTGAAGATGCTCGAGTGGACTTTTGGCCTCCCAGACCAGATAGCATCATTTCTGCTGGATGCAGTGGCACACGCCTGTGATTCTAGCACCTGGAGGCTGGAACAGGAAGATCATCTCAAATTCAAGTCCAGCCTGGGCTACATAGTAAGTCCAAGGCCAGTCTGAACTGCACGAGACTCTGTTGAAAAAGAAAAAAGAAAATATCATTTCTGAGGTCATTTCTGACACTGGCATCAGAGGGGATACTCAGGGAGGACTTTCTGGAGCAGGAGGTCAGTGGCTGCCCTTCCTCCCTGAGCTGGCCTCCTTTCTGGGTCATCCAGTCCTTTCTGAGTGGAAACAAGCACAGCCTCAGCCCCTGCCTCACCGCACAGTCCCGGATGACTCCCTGATCCTCTCAGATCCTTAGTCTGACTAAACCTGAAACCATATCTTTCCCCCAGGGACAGCCAAACTGCCATCATCGTGTACCTATGAGAGGAAAGATGACGTGATTTAAGGGAACCCTGATTGTATCCTTGCCTTGGACTGATGTTCGGAAGGGATTCAACAGAGGTGGTCCAGACCCAGAGGCCGGCCCACCAGGCTGCCTGGATACAACCATATGTTGGCAGACCATGGTTACCATGGCGATGGGACACACACCAGAGCTCACCTTCAGGGCCTTAGCAAAGAGTCTCAAGTGCCAGCTCTCTCCGGGGCTTTTCTGGCCATGTGGACGGGGGCAGGAGGGTGGGTCCTCTGATCAGAGAGACAAGATGAGGCCAGGAGACAAAAGGACACAGGTAGTCCCCCAGGTGCGTTCATTGGGGGAAGCGCGGCAGCAGTGAAAGCTGGCAGCCCCAGCAGATAGGCCTGCATCCCCCTGCTGGTGATCTTGGGCAAATGGCTCTACTTCTCCGGGCCCGGGAGAATATGCTGTGACATGAGATGACTTCATTTTCTTCTCACACACAGCTACCGGAGGCAGAAATTCAAACTAACCCCGGAGCCCCGCAGAAGGTCGCCCTCAGCCATCGCCCTCTCCAGCTCCCCACTCCCCACTCCCTGTCCACACCTGCCATCGTGCGGCCCTTCCGGGTACTGCAGGCGCCCCGCTCGCTCCCCAGCGGCCCCTGAAGCCGCTGCTCCCTGTCTAGGCGTGGATCCCTCTCCGGGTCTCAAGCTGACAAGCCCCGTCCCCAGACCTTTGAGGACATCTGGCCTAAAGAGCCTTCCCGCTGGCCCCAGACCGTTCATAGGAACCAGGGAGCCTCACTGGCTGGGGCGGCAGATGGCCCAGAGGCAGGGATTCTTAGCAATCACATCAAGATCCTGGGATGCTGGGAGTCTCCGGGTACACACTGTTGCTGCCCCTGTGTGCACCCCATAAATACCAGAGCCCCGCCACACAGTGACCTCACTGCCTGTCCATTCTGCTAAAACCCAAAGACCTTTCCATAGCCTAAATCCCTGCATCACCCAGCCCGACCCACCTCTCAAACCCTGGCACCCACCAGCACCAACCCACGGCCACCTACTCACTGATCTCCAGAAAAACACTCACCTCGAGCTTCTGGGCCTTGACACCGCGCACTCATACGGGCTGCCTCACTGCCCCTGGGCCGCTATCCAAATACAGTCTCCTAAAGTCCTTTGAGACCCTGGAGCTAAGAGGCTCCTCTCCCTCCACTCCCACAAAGTGTGTTGCCTTCCAAATGTGTACCCTCATCATTAGGGAAATGGAATAAACGCTACAATGATGTGTGAGTCCATTTTCCATGGCTACAACAAAACCCTGAGGGGCTGGGGGGTGTCAATTGTAGAGTAGTTGCCTGGTAGCACACATAAGGCCCTGGGTTTGAGACCCAGTTAAAAACATTTTATATAGATAGATAGATAGATAGATAGATAGATAGATAGATATAGATATAGATATAGATATAGATATAGATATAGATATCAGGCTCGGTGGTGCACTCCTATAATCTCAGCACTTGGGAGGCCGAGGGAAGAGAATCACTGCAAGTTCGAGGTCAGTCTGGGTTACATGAGTTCGAGGCCAGCATGGATTACATAATGAAACTGACTCACGAAGACAAAGATAAAATAAAATAAAATTATATGGGGGGACTGACCCCAAGGCCTTTGTTATGTCCCTCAATCTTTTATTTTTTATTTTTAGATGGGGGGGCTCAACAAATCCCTAAGTGGCCCAGGCTGGGCTCAAAGTCATGATCCTCCTGTCTCAGCTTCCTAGAGTGATGGGATTACAGCCAAGTATCACTATACCTGGCTCCACCACCTCTTAACACCACCACACTAAGGACTAAGTTTCCCACATGTGAATGTTTTGTGGACATGCAAACCATAGCATAGAGGACACGGCCTCAAACCCACTAGAGTATTTACTAAGAAAGAGAAAATAAACATTAGTGGGGACATAGAAAAACTGAAACTCTTATGTAATATTGGTAGAAACATAAAATGGTGCAACCACTATGAAAAATGCTATAATAACGCTGCATGCAGGGACACATGCCTGTAGTTCCAGCACCCAGGAGGCTGAGACAGGAGAATCCCTGAGTTTGAGGCCAGCCTGGGCTATACAGTGAGTTCAAAGTTGGCCTGAACTATATAGAAAGGCCCTTTCTCAGAGAGAGAGAGAGAAACAGAGAGAGAGGGAGGGAGAAAGAAAAAGAAACAGACAGAGACAGAGACAAGAAAAAGAGACAACTGTGGTGGTGGCACACTCCTCTAATCCCAGCACTTGGGAGGCTGAGGCAGGCAAGTTGGAGACCAGCCTGGGCTACAAAGTGAGTCCAAGGCCAGCCTAAACTGCATAGTGAGACTCTGTCTCAAAAAGACAGAGAGAGAGAGAGACAGAAGAAAGAAAAAAGGCATTAAGATGATTCTTCAAAAAAATTAAAGATGACCCAGCAGTTGCACATTTGGGCATATTCCCAACAGAATTAAAACAGGGACTCGAAGAGATGCCTGGACACGCCCTTCACAGCAGAGCATCCACAGTGGCCAGGAGGTGGAAGCAACTTAAGCATCCGTCAGCGGTCACGATAAGAAAACTGAAAAAAGAAAGAAAAAAAAAAGATAAGCAAACTGTGGTGCACACGCAGCAGAACAGTGTTCAGCTTTACAAAGGAAGGAAACCTCATACATGCTACGCGGCGGACGAACCCGGACAGCACTGTGCTAACTGAAATAAGCCAGCGGTGAAAAGATGAATAACTGTATTTTTTGGTGCATGTATTTTGCTGTAATAAAAATATTAAAGTCAAGCACAGTAGTAATGCCCAAGCCCCCGGTACTCAGGAGGCTGAGGAAAGAGGAGCCATCGTGTGAAGCCAGCCTTGGTAACTCAGTGCACCCTGCCTCAAAATAAAATGTTTTCTAAGAAGGAGGAGTAGAGTTAGATGTGGTGGCACACACTTGTAATCTCAGCACTCTAGAGGCTGAGGCAGGAGGATCCTTGTGAGTCTGAGACCAGCCTGGGCTACAAAGTGAGCTCAAGGCCAGCCTGAACTGCACAGTGAGACCCTGTCTCGAAAAGAAAAAAAAAGTATAACAGGGAGCTGATTTGTTTGGTTCTGTGCTGCTCACCCAGTAACTGTGAACTTAGTCAGAGCAGGGCTGAGTCTGCCTGGGGCACGTACAGCCAGTCAGGGAGCATTTGGGGAACAACACAAACGGGGGGGGGGGGGGTCCACTCACCTGGATCTCAGAGCCTGGTCCAAGGGAGAAAGATGCTCAAAACCAAGGGAAGGAGACCACTAAGCTAGAGGCAGCTTCCAGCTCCCCCCTAAAAACGTGGCTTGGCCTGGACTCTAGGGAGGGAACATTGCCTCAAGATGGAAGGAACCAGGGCACTGAGAGCCGGGGCATTTCTGGGAGTCACTGAGGGCTGTGGGGAGCTGGTGAGGTGGCTGTAGTCCCGGAGGGCTTGGAATTGGCTGACCTGCCCAGCTCCAGAACGGCCACATCAGCTGGTGGCCCCGGAGGGAGGGGAGAGCCTGATGCCATCCTCCCTCATCTCTCCCCACCAGACATGAGCACTGACGTCTGGCAGCACCGTCTCCCTCTTGCCCCTGCTGCTGCTCTTTGCCACCAGGATGCAGATGTGGGTGCCAGCTGGCCTCCAGCAAGCCCCCATCAGGGCACCTCTTTGTCTTCTCTCTCGCTGCCTTCAATAATGGGAGGAAGCGGGCCTTCAGCGAAGGATTCCCAGCAAAGCTCTGCCCTGAGACTCTCCTTGGCCTCCTCGTCCCGAGCCTCTGTCTCACCTGTTTCTTCGTCTCTGTGGCTGCTCTGTACTCCATCAGCAAGCTCTGCTCTGCCCTGCTCTGCCAGGCCACAGCAGCGGGCCTCACAGCAGCCAAGGTCACAGGCAAGGGCAAGAAGAGACACGGGCCCTGAGTGCCCAGCAAAGTTGATTCTTCCTTAAAATATGTATATATGGATGGAGGCATATATCTATTCTTCTGTTAAATGCTGTACAGAAAATTAAAAGGCCAAATTAACAGAGTGACTGCATAAAGGGGAATATGCCCTGGCCTAGCAGCACATACCTGTAATCTCAGCATCTGGGAGGCTGAGGCACAAGTCTAGCTATGAATTCAAGGCCAGCCACAACTACATAGTGAGTTCAAAACCAGCCTAAACTACATTACTACATAATGAGACCCTGTCTCAAAAAAAAAAAAGTGGGGAAGGATGTCCATGTCAGACACAGCATCCCAGAGGAGGTGACATTTATACTAAGGACCAAACAACAACAGTCAGTCATCAATCAGGCAGATATGAACTACAGACAGAGGAGGGCTAAGTGCAAAGGCCCTGAGATCTGCTAGGAAATCAGCAGAGACAGCACAGGTCCTGGAGGGGAGCCTGGCACTCATCTCCAGCCCACAGCCACTCTGCAGGCCGTGCCCTAGAGGCACCCTATTTTAAAGGAAAAGAAGCAGGAACCCCCCTCAGCCAGTCGGGCTAGGTGGTAGTCCGGTGGCCAGTGAAATGCCACCAAGGCCAGGGCAGCACCATCTTCAAGGCCCAGCCCCTGGACTTGGGGTGACGGCAAGACCCAGGGGGTGCGGCAGAAAGTGGTGGTTCCACCCTACACAAGGGGCACGCCAGCTGCCACCTCACAGCCCCCCACCTAGACATTCAGGGCAGGTTGCTTCCTGAGATCTGACACAAGAATGAAGCATCAAGCCCTTGTTCAAAGGAAGGCAGCTGGGCACAGGAGCAGACGCCTGGAACCCCGCCTACTCAGGAGGCCGAGGCCGGAGGGTGAGGGGCTTGAGGCCAGCCTGGGCTACATGATATAAACCAAATGCAAGCCTAAGAGGTCTTAACGCACACACAGGATCACTGAGATTGTGCAATTTGATTACTTTTTTTTATCACTACCAGGGATCAAACTCATAACTGCGTGCTTGCAAGGCAGGCACTTATGCTGCTGAGCTAAATCCCCAGCCCAGAGACTGTGCAATCTGCACAGGCACTTCATTAAAAATAACCGAGCTGCTTTCCCTCACTCCTTGACACACCCCGCCCTGCTCCACATGCTCGGTCTCAGGCTCACAGACACCTCAGACCAAGGAAAGAAGCCGAGGGTCGCCCATCATTGCTGCCTGTGTCACGGCTCTGCACCAGTGCTTGGCTCAGCCAGGGTAATAGCTTGCGTCCCTGGCCACTCAGCTTCCTTAGGACACCAGTGTCCTCTCGGGTTGGGCAATCCTGGTTGGAACGGAGGCCATGGCCCCTGGGGTCTGGGTTCCTCTTACCCTGCTTATCTTGGGCCTGCTTTGTGCCTCACTGAGCTCTGTATGCACCTCTGCTCACGCCGAGCAGGCTGTACCATCCCGGAAGACTTCATTTGCACAGCACAGGTTCAAAGACAAAATTATTAAAGATTTCAAGCCCGCCACCGCAGAGCAATCACCAAGTGGGTCCTTGTGAGCTCGCCCTATGTGACCTTGTCTCTGCTGCGCTCTGGCCTATCCTCACCTGCGACAGAACCCTCCCCCAGCAGGGTCCCCAGTGGAGGTGCACTAACTGGTCAGAAGCTCAGCCACCACCAGAAATTGTCCCCAAAGGGCTGGCAAAGTGCTGGGACAAAGAGGACCTAAGCCACCTCCTCTGGGTGTCATTCCATGCAGGGAGGACAGCTCATGAGAGGTGTCACCTGGAGCTTACAGCAGCCCGTGGAGAAGCTGGGACTGGCAAGAGCCTAAAGTCACATCAGAGGGCCCTGAATCCCTCTGTTAAGCTTTACCCCACTCTAACCATTCTCCCCAGCCTGGAACCCTCTCTGGCTCCCCACTGCTCAGGCAAAAAACCCAAAGCCCTATCCTGGAGCCCTCCACCCACCCCAGCTCACTGCGCACTCTGCTGCTGCTATGGCCCCCGCTTCTGAAGCCTGTGCTTTGGGCCTGCCCTTCCCTCTGCCTAGGACACTCCTCCCACCATGCTAGTCTTCTGTCTCTGCACCCCCCGCCCCCCGCTGGGTCCTGACAAGAACAACACCTCCTCCAGGAAGCCTTGTTTCACTCCTAGGCCAGACTGGGCACCTGGTCTGAGCTGTCCCAGGCTCTATGTTTCAGGGTGACTCATCTTCCTCCCACCCTACAGACAAGTTCTATGACAGTAGGGATCAGCTTCTGTTCATGGTGACAACTTTGGACCCCAACACATAGTAGGTGCTTGATAATGGTTGTTGAATGAATATGTGAGCTCAGAGGTATTGGGGACACCTGACTCCGTCCAAGCTATTTTCTCACAGATCAGGCAGTCAATCCAGGGAGAAGGAACTAACAAGCACGAGGCATGTCTCGGCGTACTTGGTACTTTACATCTCTGACCTCCATAGCAGTCCATCCAGCCCCAGAAGGGGAGGTGTTCTTCCCACCTCCCTCCACACTGGTGCTTGTACTGAAGCCAGAGCTGATCCACCACTGAACTAATAAAAACATAATTTTTATTGCAAAACAAGGTTTCATTAAATTTCCCAGGCCAGCCTCGAACTTGACATCCTCTTTCCTCAACCTAGCCAAGATTACAGGCCCGCACCTCAGAGCAGCTAGGATTGCAGGCCTGCACTGTCAGCACCTTCACAGCTAGGGAGGAAACAGAGGTGGCACTCACATCCTCTCTCCTTGCCCCTCCCTGTCACCACACACCCTGGCAGGGTGACAACCCGCAGCCTCGCAGCCCGGCCAGGCCAGATGTCCTCTCTCTCGACTGTCCCAGAGAGCGGACCTCCCTGCTGGCTCCTGTCCCCTGTCCCCTGCCTTCTCCCCCACTTCCTCTCCTCCAGTCTCTTCCTGCCTGCTCTGGGATATTCCTCTCGCAGGAAAGCGCCCAGGTTCCGGGGCAAGGCCCCTAGCCCAGCTGCCCGGCCAGGACACATGCTTCCTCCATCACCCAGCCCTGTTCCCTCCCTGCGGCACGGATGGTCGGATGGTCGGATATTCCAGCCAGGCCTCAGGACCATGGGAGCAGCCCACAGAGAGCTCCCCAGGGCGCTTTGTCCCTCCCTCTGCCTCCAGCCCCAACAGGACCAGAGAACTCAAGATCATCCGGAAGCCTGAGGTCAGGCACAGATCTCCTAGGGCCTCTGCTCCCTGCCTGTGCACCGGTCAGGATGGAAAGCTTCTTCAGAGCCCAACCTGTATGCCCACCTGGTACACCGCTGTTATTATCCCAGCATCACCATCTGACTGAACCTTTACAACTGTCCTGGGAATGTGTGTGTGTGGGGGGGGGTGACGCTCATTTTATAAATAAGGAAACTGAGACTTAGAATGAAGACTTGCTTAAACGCTAGCGGAGGCTTGGTAAGTGTTGTCCTGATACCAGGAAGCAACAGGCACAAGATCACAGATTTAACCCTGGAGCGTCTTGCAGACCAAGGCCACCCCAACTCAGGACACTTCGGGAGTCTAACCTGGACTCCTCCTGCTGTGGCGCCATCCATTTCCGCCATAGACAGAAAAGAGGAAATCCCATGGTGTGAGCTGGGGAGAGGGAGTCGCCCACCTCTCCAGGACTCTGGAAGGTTAGTAAACAGGGCCAGCCAGCCAGGTGAGGACCCGCCCCAGTCGCTCCCTTCACCAGCCACCGGGAGCTCCGTTGCTCCGCGGCCACCAGAGGGCGCGCGCCCCATCTCATTGCCAAAGCCACGACGGCGGCTGCGGCGGGCCCGATGGGGCTCGTAGAGAATGCGAGGTTGGGGTGCAGCCACTTCGAAAAAATCTGCCCTGGAACGCAGCCCCACCCTGGGCGCGGATTGCGCCTCTTTATGACAACGAGAACCTCGAGCGCTACCCCTCCAACCTCCACCCCGACCGCGCCCTTGCCTTGGCCTCCGGGCAACCGCTCGAGCGCCCCCTCCTGGCCACTTCGAGCACTACAGCCTGGCGTAGCTCGGGCTTGGAGGGCGCGAGGGGGGACGCGGGCAAAGGGAATTTACCTGAAGGTAGCGGGACAGGAGGTGTGTGGTGGGATTCTGTGGGCAGAAGGAGACTGCAGTGGTTAACCCTAAGGACACAGAAGTGCGAGGAAGACACAGGAGCTGTGCCTGATGTGCAGGGCACAGGGCGGGTTAGGAGGAAGACTCTGGAGGCCCTCAGACAGGTATTGGGAACAAACAGTACCTGGTCTCTGAGGGCTGTTAAGGGACACTAAGCCTAAACTGGAAGGTGGCACCCAGTGATTATTTGGTGGTCCCCGAGTGGCTATCGGGAAGCACTAAATGGCACAGCAGTGCACTGGATAAGCAGAGACCCCATGGGTGTGGGGAAGTACTGGGCTGGGGCCAGAGGTACTGGGTCAGAACTGGGGGCCAGGGTCCACACTAGGAAACACTCAGTGTATCTGTGGATGTGGCATGACTAAGGAGGTGAGGGGGCGCTGGGAGGGTCACAGCAGGTGCCACGGGCAGCATCTGGAAGCAGTGTGGACGCTGGTGCGGGGCGGCTAATGAAGTCGCTTAGTCTTGGGCTCAATCTGGAACCGGATACCCCTGCCCACACAGTGCCTCAGTGCCCCCTCATGGCCACTCCAGCCTGGATCGCTGTGCCATTTTCACAGCCAGGACTCAGATCAGAAATATCCCTCCACCAGTAAGGGACCCTCGCCCATTTCAGAACCTGTTCATGATTTCCTGGCCTGGTAGGAGACAGGGGGAGGGGACTGCCTATGGACAGAGCCTTCATATCTCCTTCCCCCAGATGGAAAGGGAAGTAAAGGCAGGTCAGCCCCTCATTCTTAAAAAAAAAAAAATAAGAAGCCCCCTCCTCGGCTCCTCCTGCCAGGCTTTGGCCTCCTGGCCCAGCTTGCTGGCTGCTGGGCCGGGAGGGGCTGCCAGGCTCGGCCTCCAGCCCACTGCGGGGCGCCGGGGGAGGGCCGCGCGCGGCGCGAGATGCCGCGTTGCCATGGAGACGCTGCCGCATCCTGACTGCTCCTGGCAACGGGGTCCCGCAGCCAGG